GTTCTGGGTTCCCATCTCACTTCTAGCCGCCAAACGGGGGGATGTCAATGTCCTGGTAGTTCTCGCGCACTTTTACGCTACCGCACTAGCCTTGGAGCCGATGTTTCCGGATGTTGCGTCTGTCTTTGTCGCAGACCTTTCCCTTCGCCCATTGGAGGAGATAAACAATCTGGTCCAAGGTTTCCAAGACCCACGATACGATTCACGCCTGCAGACCATGTCGTATCTGGTACAATTCCCAATTGATATGGTTTCTTCGTACAAGACTAGACGGGAATGGTCTCGGCAACAATTGTCATCTATATCTCCAATGCAGCAGCAATCCGCATATGCACTGGAGAGCATCAACCTGGACCTTGAGAACCACATTGCGCAGTACAGCTACGGCCAGAGCCTTTCCCCTGCCTTTGCTCCATCACCGCTTACATTCCTTCCCCCTGGCATGACTTCTGCACCGACGTCACCGTACCTTGAAGTCCCCCGATCTGGCACTGTCGACGCGTATGGCACGGCTAGTAGCTATGCATCCTCGAGTAGCTATGCGTCTCCGCTGGGGTCACCTGCAGCACTGCTGCCGCCATACTCGGCCCCACAAGAACATGCATTCGCATTTGGAATGCAATCTGGTTATCCCAGCGGGTTCGTGGCTACACCTATCTGGACGTGAACGAGCGCGCGCTGAACGATCCCCCAGGAACCAAATGACTACTCCGATGCAGATTATTGCTTCTCAACCACATCATCATAGTCCCATGCCCGATGCTGGAAACGCACAAGGCCAGGCGACCACTGCGGGGTATGTACCGAGCCAGTACAGCCGCGCCTGAGAGAGCAGCGTCTCGACGGAAATTCAAGGAACCATGCCGACGTAACGAATTATCACATCCGCCCGGCCCGTCCTCGTCGTCTCCACCGTTGCGTAAGACGAACAATTTCCGATCGATTGATCTCTGCCCATCATCAGCACCAGAGTCGGACCTATGACATGCCACCACTGGCAAGTTGTTGTGGCTTCCGCCGTAAGCCGTTCATGGACTGGCTGCTCCGGCGCTTCGGCGCAATGCCCGGAGAGACGCAAGGTGGACGAAACAGCAAGTGGACATGTTTCGCTCCACCATGCAACACACGCACATCATCCCCTGTTATGTCAGCCGCGGTTGGACCGGAGTTCGCTACAATGTAGGAAACGGCACATCGAGCTGCGGGACCGGTGGCCAGCGTGAAGAAGTCTCGTCAGGCTTTCACAGACGCTACATGAATATCTGCAACGAAACAACGGAAGAGACTGCATTAGGGGTGGAGCTACGGCGACGAGTACTACTTTCTGAGAGATGCTTTCCTCATCGAGAGAACTCCGCACTTCCCCGAGTACAGCACAAGGATACTTAGGCACCAACAGATAGCATGCACAGAAGAATTAAGGTTATCCAGTATCGTCCTAGTTTCTCAGCCCTAGTCCTAGTTCTTCCATGTGATGGCTAGGGTCTGCCCTGCATGCTCGCGTGAAAGATGGACAGGTCAGCTACCAATTTTAGCTCTATTCAACCAATCGCAGTTCACTACCCCACCATCGATACCCAGTATCAACCCGGCAATGCGGGTTTACGTACAAGCATGTTGCCGACTATGGGTTATGGATGCAGCAGAGAAGTTCTTTCGTTGCTGCCGGGTCAGAATGCGCGGTTTTCTGAGCTGGGTAGCCCTGACAAGGAGGGTTTGGGATCGAGGGACAACGTGCGCTAATGTATGACCTACAGGGAGGGTCGAGCTTGATGTCATTCCAGTCCGCTGGATCGCTTTTCGCGGGTAGCGGGATAAGATTTACTTCGCCAATCCTGCCACGCGTACAGCCTATCACACTGCTCGATCAGCGACACCTGAGCCATTCTTCTTTAGTGTTCGATTGCGAGAGGTCAGCGGGTTTGCACCGCCACAGAATCCCCCGGCTTGGCAGCCTACCCATAGCGAGAACCGGTCAACGTTGGCGATTTAGGGCGGATCTTGAGACCCCGAGGCTACCGCGTAGGTTCTTTTAGTTGCGATTGCAATCAGATGGCCGTTCTTCTGGTCGGCTGCGTTGGAAGGATTGCGCCCACAGGATCAACATCCATGTAAGCGATGGGCGTAATGAGGAAGGTGCAAGCGAATCAAACGAATCATTATGGCTTTCTGGCCTGTCCTCCGCTTTGCTGCCTTCATCGCATTACTTGTCATCGCAACACTTGCTTGTCGACATGTTGCCCTCGGCTTTCGACCCCCAATGCGGTTCACCGACAATTCCAGCAGTGTGTCACATCTTAGCTAATAGCTCATGCCAGAGCCTTCATAGTTGAAACTGCGAAGATCATCTCCTCGGCATCTCGGAACCCGGACTTCCAAGGCTTATCCATGGTCTGCTCGAAAGTATCGCTCTGCTACTCACGTGCTACTGTACCTCGCGAAAGCTTTGGTGCTTCACATCCCAGATGGCAGATGCATCTAGGTAGCCCGGCAGGCCTTAGCCGCGTCCCTGGTTTCGTTAGCGAAGGAACGAAAGACCAGGGCAGGCGAGTAGAACCACACTTCCAAGAAACGTGCAATGGGAGAAGAATGACCCACAAGAAATTTCCGCCGTTCCTGTGGTTTAAGCGGCTCCGCTCCCTTGGAACTTTTGGGCTCCGCTGTCTCCATCACGCCCTACACGTTTTTTCAACTGGCAATTGATATGCCCACGCTATCCACTTCTCGCCATGACCTACGGCCTCCGGTGGCAGTCGCGGCGGTGTTATAATGCCGAGACCTCGTTTCGTCTCGAGCCCACTGTAACATGCTTAAGTGATCACTCGGATGCGAACTAAACGTAAACATCGGATGATGTCTCCCGCCACCGTGGTTCCTCTGATCGTCTATGAAAGAAAGTTCATCTAGCAATCGCAAAGCCAGCAGCAAATGACTCGAGATTTTTCACCGCAAAGCAAAGCCCACAAACCGGCACGGCACTAACTTACTTGACCGCTCTCCGACGAAGATGATCTGCCAAAATTCTGTCGGCCGTAAAGCGCGCGCGCCTGCGAAAGAAAGCGATCTCTGACGTCCAGAACAGATCTCCACTAACACCGAACAGGTCATTGATAATTTCTATTTCCGGGAACGAGCGCATTGGGGCAAGATCCGACGCGTGCGGCGTCGGCGGAAGTGCCGTAGAATGGACATGTCGAGCCGAGAGAGACGGACGGTTCGCCCAGGCGTTATGACGCCGAATGCTGGAGAAAGATCCGAAAGGTCTACAATATGATCCGCACATAAGGGGTGGCTGAACAAGTGCCACTCGGCACGGACTCATCAGCGAGTTAATGCGCTGTCTCGCGGCGGTGGCATATTTGTTTTTAGTCGGTGACGCTGGTTCCGATGGTTCTGGAGCCCTTCTGGTGCACACGCTTCGCACGTTCTGGCGCCGGCTCTGAAGGTGGGCGAAGCCAAACGAAAGCGAACCAACCAACTAACGGAAATCCCAACAACAACGACCACTCGGAGAATACTCCTATACCGAACTCGCCGGCCTCTACTTGGACTAACTTAGTTTCGACTTGAGGTCTCACCACATCATTGTCACACTGCCACAGCCCTCCTTTCTACCGACCGTCCGATCACACTCCAGGTTGGAAGCTTAGCCTCACCTTCCGAACCCCCATCCCATCCCAACCCACGCCATCCTAAGACCAATTCGGCGCGGCAACGGTTCACCCGAAATTTGGTGTACTACTATGTAACTGCTACCGTTAACAGTAAAGTGTCACTGTTGGAAGATGATCAGCAACATCAACACGATACCGATCCGTATCATGACTAAGATCGACAAAGGAGTGAAGGATTGAAGGAGTGAAGTGACGATCCTCTGCAACGCGTGGCTACTTAGATATGAAACATAGTCTTTGAAGATCGTTCGAGGGAATTTTTGCTAATGCAGAACATGTAAGCTTGGATTGGTTCATACATCAAGCATCCAACGTGACAAGCATTGGAAATAGTGGGAAAAGGTGGATTGCGTGGATGCAGGATGCGTGGATGTAAGACCGAGGAAAAGAACGAACGCAGACCGTCGTGGCTGGTGATGCGGTAGTTTCAACCCACGCCCCTCGTTTACCGTCATGGCAGTCACGCTAATGGGACGTGCCGTGTATACGAGGCTGAAGTGCAGTAGCTGTGTGTCGGTTGGTAGGGGCGTTTTTTCTTCCGAGATACGAGGTTGGTGCAGTTGGAGATCCTGGAGTGTTGATTGGGGAGCGTGGAATGAAGGTGACGATATTGCGTCGTATCGAGTATATATGGTTGGTTCACATTCGGTGTTCTTGTTGAAACGGATTCATTCGGGTACTCAATTGTAGCTGCATAGACGGATCAATGCGGATTGCATTGGGCGATGGTGTAATTGTTCGCTCTCGCCGATGATGTCGAGATGTGGAGTGACCTTAAGCGATATTTGCTATACCCGCTCCGACTCTATGTAGTAATTGCTAATCGACGTCTTACAAACGATCTGTCGGAATCACCGGCTGACTCTCGTATGTTTTCCATCATTCATTCCCCAAATGGGTGTTATTCTCCTTCTTTCCTTCTTTACAGGGGAGGTACATGGAGTCCCTCTGATCGCTACAACACCCGCTCTCTCGTTCAAGTTGCCCAACTCCAAGCATCCCACTCCTCCTGCCAAACCACCGGCTCCAACGCCCCCTCAAGACTCAAAACCTGACCCAGTGCACACTCCTCAAAGGTAACGTGATGCTGCTTCTCTAGGTAAAACACGTCATATCTCCCCTCCATCGCATCCCCCAAGTTCCTCACATCACCTCCAGGATGTATTTTCTCCCAAGGCCTCGTGCATACCCGTCCCTTACAACGCTTGAGCGTAAGTAACAGTGCGTCAAGTCTAGACGTGACCCTATGTATAGGCCACCCGTTTATAGCCGTGCTATTCGTATTGTAAAGATTGGTAAGTTGGTAAGGATCATTCTGATATTTCGTTAGCCGTGAAGGACAAAGGATAGCAGAAAGAAGATACATGCCGTCATATCATAAAGTTCATGCTCATTCGTACACCAAACCGTGTACGCCAAGTCATACTCCTCTCCAACGACCCTCACCGTCTTATACGTGTTATTCACCAAAGAACTCTGTCCGAAAAATGTGTTTCCTTCTACTAGGTAGTTGCCCCAGAATTCGATGTTAATGTGCTCACTCTTCTCATTCCGCGCAAGTAGCTCTTCAGTAACGGGAATAGGCTCCCCATCAAAGTCTTCTCGGAGAGGTATACCGGCTAAATGGAAAAGCGTGGGTACAATATCAGTGTGGCTAGAAGGAATAGTTTGAACAGCGCCTTTTGCTATACCAGGACCACGGATGAAGAAGGGTATATTGACATCCTCTTCGATGCCGCAGCTTTTTCCGGGTGGGAGGCGGTGCTGCGAGATATGGAAGCCGTTATCTGTTGTGTAGATTAGGTAGGTGTTTTCTAGGACCTCCGGGGTGGCGTTTAGACGGGCTATGATGGAGTCGATGAGCTCGTCCACGGACTGAAGGGATTGGAGTCGTTTTCGGTACCAGTCGTCGTTGTAGTCAATTTCAGATTGGTTGAGTTGGCGGAGAGTTTTGAAGTAGGAAGCAGTTCCTGGCTGGTACATGGATTTGAGAATGTATATACAATGTGAGGGTCAATGTGACGTACCTTGTTTGGGTTGAAGTTTGGTGTCCGCGGTATTGTCACGTTCTGGAAGAGATGCTCATGTCTCTTTGCTGGTACTGGTGGGTTGAACTTCACAGGTCGTGGGTCGGTAATCGTTTCTGAGTGAGGAGCTATAGGAGCGACACCGATGAAGAACGGTCGATCAGATGCTGCAATGGCTTCGTCTAGGAATCCAACTGCAGCATTGGCGACTAAGTCGGTTGAATACTCTCCTGGTAGATTCTTGTAGGGGTCATGGTTACGCGTCATGGTAGAGTTGTAGAAGACATATGTTCCTGGATCAATCAAGACTAGCACGGTCAGTAATTAGCAGATGTTACCGCTATCATAACGAACGGCTTACAATCAGACCCGTTCCAACCACTGGCCCGAGGTGCATCATATGTAGTGATGGAGTGGCCGTTCATAAGCTTCCCAGTATAGTAAGTGTTGTATCCCGCCTCTTGAAGCCATACTGGAAGGTAGTGATCGTTGAATCCTTCCTCAATGAACCTAGGATATCCGCCTTTTCGTAATCAGAATATTGTCAGGGCGTATCTTCTTGACGTCCAACGTACCGTAAGGAGCAGAGACATCCGTAATGTTCGTGTTATGAGCCGCTTTCCCTGTCAAAAGAGATACTCTTGATGGACAACACAGTGATACGGTACAGAAGTGCTTCTTGAACCAAGTACCTTCTTGAGAAAAGTGCTTTTGTACAGAATGCTGATAGTCGATAGAGTTTAGATGTAGATCCTGATCGTCGGTGATAATAAAGATAAAGTTGGGTTTCGTAGAGCGGCCTGTAACAGCGGTGATTCCTAAGGATAGGAATAGTAGAGCTTGACTTGGTATCATGATTGTAGATGGAATTGAAGCACCCAGCGTTTAACTTTGCGACATGATCTCTGATTATGTATGCATTTCCAAATCTTCATAACCTCAGTGACCCACGCCATCGCGCGAAGTTCGAACTTCATTGCGTGCTCGGGAACAGACCAGGGTCAACCATAGATCCACCCACGATGCCTACTAGTTGCGATGGCTGCCAATAGAAAGTCGGAGAGAGGAGCGACCCATGGAGAAAAAAAAGCCGATTATCTCTGGAAGGATGAATGAGTTGAGAGTATGACCTTATCATGGTGGATGCGAAGGCCGAGGAGCGTGTTGTGGAAAACTTTGCCAGAACATAGAAAATTTATCTGTATTCAGACGCCATATAGATCCTCACTAGAAGAGATGCAATATAAGAGAAGTTGTGAACAAATGAGATTGTATGCCCTGTTCAGGTACCGAGAACGAGCTACAAGTTGTCTTTCTGGGCAGTCACAACCTTGGATAGTTGAACAGGACAGTATGTTGTCAAGGTTTGACATGCTGGTTGAGAGTCGTGACCAGATCTGAGTATGCCGAGACTTCTTTGGTAACACCAAAGATGAATCTGAGTGCTACCGGGTAGAGGGGTAAGATATGGGACGACATGGAAAGACCTTGTTCACTCATCATGGTGGGGCATCGGAACCGTTCCGAATCGCGGGCCGAGCAGTTGTTCCGGCGGCGCCTTCGATGGCGTAGGTCCAACGCAGCGACAACACAGACCAAACCACACCGCTCTACCTTTACGCACAACTATGTCGGGAGGCTGGAACACCATTGAGTCCGATGCCGTAAGTACGAAACTTCTTTGAGAGAATCGCTTGCTAACAATCACAGGGTGTGTTTACATACCTCATCGAGAAGCTCGGTGTTAAGGGCGTCGAATTCGAAGAACTCACCTCTCTCGATGCTACGGCTCTACAAGCCCTCGGTACCCTATATGGCGTGATATTTCTCTTCAAATACCCCACAGGCGAGAAGCCCAGCGATGTACCGAAAGATGGCACCTACGACCATGAGGCGGCAAATACCCTCTTCTTCCCCGCGCAAACAATACAAAACGCATGCGGTACACAAGCGATCGTTTCGCTTCTGCTGAACCGAGAAGAGGAGGTCGATATCGGCAAGGAGCTGAAGGAATTCAAGGAATTCGCGGGTGATTTTCCACCAGAGGTGCGTCAAGTCAGCGAAGCACCTAGATGAAGTAGCTGATAAAAACTCCAGCTACGTGGAGAAACACTCTCAAACTCCGACCTTATCCGCGAAACCCACAACTCTTTTGCGCGATCCTCACCCTTCGTCGACGAAACACAGCGAACAGCCACAGAAGACGACGATGTATTCCACTTCATCGCGTAAGCCCACCCTCGTCACTACCCTACAAAGCCACAAGAGTCACAACTGACACAAACAAACAGTTACACAAGCATAAACAACAAACTCTACGAACTGGACGGCCTCCAACCCGCCCCCATCCTCCACGGCCCCTGCACACCATCCGACTTTCCCAGCAAGATAATCCCCGTACTCCAACGCCGCATCGCCCGCTACCCCGCCTCAGAAATCCGCTTCAACCTCATGGCCTGCTGTCGTGACCTGCGTATCCGCGCGCGCGAGATCGGCGACGAGGAGGAACTAGAAGAGCAGGAAGATAAGCGCGCGAAGTGGCTATGGGAGAACTCGTTACGAAGGCATAATTTCGTGGGCTTTGTGGGGGAGTTGTTGAAGGGCGTTGTGAGGGCGAAATTGGAGGCGGGTGAAGGGGAGTATGATTCGTGGGTTGAGGAGGCCAAGGGCAGGAGCAGGAAGAGGCGGGAGGAGATGAGGAAGCAGGGTATTACCGAAGATTGAGTTGTTGGAAAGTGGTGATGGTGTGCCGTGGGAAGATCGCGAGAGATAGGCTTGTGTATAATGATGTTGCGTGTGGCAGTCTATTGGATACAAACCTGATAATCACGAAGACCTGTCTATTCGACTACCATGGTGCTCGCAATGCCGAATTATCTTCAAACCTACCCCGAACATCTCCAGGGTATACTATCCACCGATCATGGTCACAGTTACTCATACAAGCGCGCATGAAGTTTCTCCTTCCACAGCCCAAAAACACATGTTTCAGTCATGACACAGATAAACAAGAGTAGGGTAATGACATCGTATCTTCATTGGTATAGAACTATCTACAGCCATGGAATCTCTTGATCCAGAATTTCAACACCACGCTCGCTATGCCTTAACAATGCCGTGACAAGAAAAGTATGAAAGCCGTTATAACCGTAAAACGAGGGGGATATCTTCGTCGAAATGCGCTACATTACGTCATGAACATGAAAACATGATATGGTAGGGTATGGATGGATATGGATGCTTGAGGCCGTAAAGTGTGCGTGAAGAGTAAAGTAAGAAAAGAGATAGAGAAGGGGTAGTAGACCTCGAAGCCTAAGCGGATGCTGCACAGAAGGCGAGCGAGGCTGGGAAGACCGACTCTAGGGCGCAGAAAGCGGGTTCAGTGGGTGTTTCGTCAATGACTATGCTGTCTTCGTTGGTGTGAGCAGTCTCTTCGATGACATCAAAGGTCTCCACAGCAGAGCTGGTGGACATCTCCTCAACTGCCATCTCGTCGACAACAACCTCAATCTCAGCTTCAGCCTCAACATCCACACCACTAATCTCGGGATCCGCAACAGCAAGAACGGGAACAGCAGTAGGCGTCTGAAACTCTGTAACCGTAAAGGTAGAATAGGCCGTCGCAGTCATAGTAGCTGTGACAGCATTCGGCATCTGCGCGGCAACCTCAATAGGCAGCTCGAGCATCTGCGACGACGGTGATTGTTGTTGAGCAGCCCGCATACCCATTGCAAGATACGCGACAGCGACGGCTAGCAGAAGAATAGCGAAATTGCGCTTGTCGCTCAAGAGAAGGAAGACGTAGTTCTTCAGCAACGTACTGAGAGGAATCTGGTCTGATCGAAGACGGTGAGAAGCTTCAGCCTCTGCTTTCTCTTGTTCCTTGATAGTAGTCTCTAAGGCGCGAAGGCGCTGGGCTACTGCCTCGGATTCGGCGGCCGCTTTAGCTTCTAGCTCGAGACGAACAGCTTCCTTCGCTTCGTTGAGTTTGACCTGGAGATCTTCTTCGAACCTCTTCTTCTCAGCTGCCTTCTCTTGGATACTCCTTTGGAGGGCGGCGGCGGCCTCTTCGAAGCTTTTTTGTAGTTCGGCTTCTTCTTTGCGCTTCTTCTCATTGGCTTCTTCTTCTAGGATCTTTGTCTTGGCGGCGGCTTCTTGGATTTGGCGTTGAAGTTCTACGGTGTATAGCTGCTTGCGCTTGTCTGCTTCTTGCTCTTCTTGAGCTCGGCGCTCCAAGGTTTTGCGGACTTCTTCGGGTATCCAGGGGTGTATCTCGACGTCGCATCTTTCCATGTCGTTCCAGCATGCTTGCCATGCGGCAGATCGCATTAGGCCGTTGGCGGCGTAGATCTTGATGTCCCACTTCCGTGTACCGGCACCGATACCCTTGCCGGGCTTCTTGAGTTCGCGGTGGCAGTCTATGCACATACTGTGGTCACCGTTGGCTGAAGTGTTGCTTCCTTCGGTCAGTGTGCCTCCACTCATGCGACTGCCCCGTCCGGTGTTCTCATCGCCGACGCTGGCGACATCATCTTCGTCTTCTCTGTCGTCCTCATCTTCGGGTGGTACAAAGTGGCCGCACGGGAGCAGCCGCGGTGTCCTCAGCTCGAGGCTCTCCAGTATGCGTTCCTCCAGCAGGTCGTATTCATCCCGGGGATGAGGGATAAGAAGCCCACGACGCATCAGTATGATATCCTGCAACTTCTCCTCGAGCAGCTTGTAATTCTCCACTAGCCAATCCGGCATGATCCTAGCCATGATGTCGTGCGAGTATGGTACCTGCATGGGCAGGATTGTGACATGCAACAAGACAAGCGGTGCCTGTTGTGGTGTGGGAGTAGGTCTCGGACTATAAGGCTCCCGGATGCTCCTTCTCCGTGACCCAGTAGACTGCCTTGTTACGTCTGACTCTGATCTTCCACTCCTGCTAGGTGTAGCCAGCTTGAAGGATCCCTTCAATCGCTCCTGCGAGCTTTGATGTGCGAGCATTGGTGGCGGCGACGACATCTGCATGGCGCGAACAGACTCTGGATTCCGGAAGCGCGGGCGTTCTTTACGTGCTCGCGCACCAGCTTCATTGGCAGGTAGGATAGGTTTCGAAGCCATCGACGACTCGGACGGAATAGCCGAGACGAAGCTATAGTTTGACATCATGCGTTGTTGTGATCCGGGCCGTGATGTGTAGGAGCTTTGGTAAGGTTGTGGTTCGTCGTCAGGCTCTTGTTGCAGCTCAATGCTGTGGACAACGTCGTGGGCCATTGGGAACGAGCGTTCGGAGTGGTACGAGTCACTGCCGTCAAACAAGTCCGAGGGTGACAAGGGTTCGTGATCCTGTGGGTCTTTGTAGATGGCGAATGAGGTAAGGCCTGGCTGAGGTGAGGGGTGGTGCATAGTAGTAGTCATATCGGACCTTCTTGTCGCTCTGTGCAACAATTCTTCAAAGCGGGTGTAACTCAAGGTCGTGAATGAACAATCGTGAAATGGATAGGAATGAAGTTCAGGGATCCCATCATCTGAAATTCATCGAGAGCCGAGGCGGCACCCGGTGGGGGTTGGACCAGAGGTGGTTGGGATGGCTAGTGCGTGCGTTGTCGACGTGTCAAAAGCGTGCTGGCGTTTGTTTACTACACCGACACTTTAGCGCAGCACGGTTGTTGGGAGTAACCGAAAAGGTACAGTAACGGTGGCTAGTCTTGTCCAGCCCCATACTTTTCTGCACACCGTGAACGCTTCAATTGTTAAAGCGCACGGAAAATCATTGAAGCGCTGAATTTCTATGGGTGCGGTCCCCGTAGTGTTCCCGCTCGGATGTCTTTGTTGGGATCCTTCGCCTTTGATAGGATCCGGGTCGCTCTTCATGCAAGTGCAGCCTCATTCTGCAACATGTAACATGACTACTCAAAGATAGCTGAACCCCCACCACGGAGGCAAACCGTTGTAGGCGCGCATGGCGACGAGCAGAAAGACTTTGAATTGCTGAGTTCAATATTCCGTCCCTGGAAACAGAAAGCAGACGTTGCTCAAAAAGTAATCGTAGAGTACCATGATTCATTAAGCTAAACGTCACCATGTACCGCATGACCACTTCGGCTTCTGCCCTAAACTTTTGACAGCACACTTCGCATCCAAGTTGCTCTGCTCTGCTCTGCGGGGCAAGTACCCCTCTCGTTCGACTCATCCTCCCAATCTCCTTGCACGACGACAATAGTTTTCCACGACCACAATAGCCAGCACATCCTGCATCGGCTCACCATTCCTACAACAGCATGCTATGCGCCTCAGATGATTTGAATCCTAGGCTTTGTAGCCCCTCCTCTGCAAGATGTGAAACAGGCCTTAGTCGTCTGTTCTCTAGGTGCAGTGCCACACGGCTTCTTGTGAACTAGACAGGTGGAAGATGGCTAAATTTGATGCAAGCTCTTCATGTGTTATCAGCCAAGTTCGCTTGTATAATGAATATTGGACCGCGCACATTCGTGCTGAGATGAGAATGATTAGACAGAAGAATGATTTGTAAGAGAAGAATAAAACACTGGATATATTTGCAACATTCGCATTCATGACTGATCAGTTCATCTAACCAATCTATTCTTCCTACCACTTACTTACGTTTTCTTATCTCAGATCCATCTACAACTCATCCTTGACATCATCCTTCTTCTCTGCATTCTCAGAGTACACTCCTGCCTTCCTCAATGCCTCCTCAATCTCCTGCTGACTCGGCGCTTCACCCCCATGCGCCTCATGCTTGATATCCCCCTTCTCCATATCCTCAACCTGTTGTTGAGAGTCTGGGTGGGGGTGTTCTGCCGCAGCAGGCTTCTCAGTCTCCTTAGTCTTCTCTGCTTTCTTAGTCTTAGTGGCTGATTTCTTGGCTTTCGCGGACTTGGTCTTCTTAGCAGTCTTAGACTTGGAAGATGACTGGTTCGGGGGCTTGAAGTGCTTCATCTTCTTCATCATCATATCCATGACAACATCATCTAGTTTCTTCTTCTCGGCAAGGATGTCCTTGACGGTGAAAGCTGGGTCGTCAGTGGGTGTGAGTTTATTCTGCTTGGCTTCGTTCTCGTCGAGCCAGGCTTGTGCTTTGGAGGCGTGGTCTTGGACGGTCTTTAGATCGTCTTCTGTGTAAACCGTTGGGACTTCGGTGATTTCAGGCGCGGCGGGTGCATCTGCTTCTTCATCGAGCTCGTCCATAGGGTCGGTGGATGGCGAGGCGGCAGCGTCAGCGGAAGCTTTAGAAACGGCTTCGCTGCTCTTGGAGCTCTCGACGGATTGAGTCTTGATCTGACCGTCTACCAATTGCTCAACTTCTTTGATATGAGCGATGGTGTCTTTGAGCTCTTTGATGGCGTCTGGGCGCTTGGAAGCCTCGTCCTTGCGCTTGAGCACGGGACTGACGATGTCTTCGAGCTCCTTTAGCTTACTCCTGAGAGTTTTCTCATCTGCATCTGCACCTCCAGAGTACATCCACTCTGAGGCGGCTTCGAGCGTCGTCTCAAGTGTTGAGCGGACAGCGGAGGTGGAAGCACCGATGAATGACTCGTCCTCAAGGTAATCCCGAGCACGGTAGGTGAAGGCTTCAAGTGAGTTCAAGACCTCCTCGCGAACGCGGCGAGACTTGTCCGACGAATCGAAAGCAGCGAGCCTATTCAATGTTAGTATACGAAGATATTAAGAACGTCCGTGAACCTACCTGTCCTGCATCCTCTTCAACTCCTTACGAGGGAACTTCTTGTAGCCCAGCTGCTCAACATCGTACGTAATCGCCGACCGAATTGTCTTAATCTTCTTCTCCCCATCCTTAGCAGCATCAGTGCTCTGAGCACCCGCCGAAGACGAAGACTTGGAAGATGACTTGGAAGCAGACGAAGAAGAAGAGCTCTCACCCTCCTTCAACGGCTCTTGGTCCTTCTTGCCACCCATTCCAAACAAGTTCTTGACACCATCAACAATTCCGCCCTTGACCTCCTCGCTCTCAGTTTCGCAGGTAACCCATGCAGACAAGACTTCAGGAGTACCAGTAACAGGGCTAAGCCTGACCTGTACGTAGTTGTTGAAGCTCTCGCGGTCGCACTTGTCGTCGTTAATCATGTTTGTGACAACCTGAGTCAGATTGCCGCTCTGGAAGTGAAGAGTAGGCTCCTTGGACACCTCGCCATTAGCACCAGGGATAGCCTGGTACATGGTGAACTCGAACTCGCCCATCATCTGGAAAGGCAGGTCCTTGGTCGCTCCAAGTTTGGTGCTAGGGGTGAAGATCTTCTGGTCACGGTCCTTCATGTTGAACATGTACTGGTAACCATGGTTGTAGCCCTGGGTGTCCGAGTCGCGGATCTCCTTGACGCGGAAAGACGGGCTGAGACTAGCAGCCTTGAAAGCAGCGCCGAATACGGCAGCCTCGTCAGCGTTTACGTTCGCCCTGATCTTGCTTTTGCCTGCGACTGCCTCGAGACGAGCCTGAACGAAGGGGGTACGGCTGGCACCACCGTGGACGATAACAGAGTCGATGTCAGCGAATGTGAGGCCAGCAGCTTCCAGAGCCTGGTTGATGGGTCCATCGATACGTTGGGCATAGGCAGCGGCGAGCTCCTCGAACCTAGAACGAGGGAGCTTGTATCGGAAGTCAACATCCTCGTAGAAGCTCTCGAAGAAGGATGTGGTCTCCTTGTTGGCGCTGAGCATCTGACGAACCCTCTCGGCCTCTTTGAAAAGCTTCGCAGCCGTACGTCCATGAGTCTTAACCTTGTCAGCGGTAAAAGAAGCGCTCTTGGCAGCTGGTAACTCGATGAAAGTAGCCACCATATCGTCGACGATGAGTGAGTTCAGCGCGTCACCTCCAAGCGTCCTATCCCATCCAGTCCCCACAACTTGAACCTCCTGGACAGTCTTGTTGCGCCTACCGACATCCTTGACAGTCCTGCTCTGGAACTTGAGAACAGTAGCCGACAAAGATCCAGCGCCCATATCGAAGACCAGGTTGATCTCCGGCTTGCCATCCTTTGTAACATCCGGGAAAGTCCTGCCAGTAGCGTAGTTGAGACCAACAGCCAGACCATCCGAGACAACACTAAGCACCTTGAGACCGGCCAATCTTGCAGCAATCTCAAGTGCACGCCTCTCATCCACCGTGTAGAAAGCCGGAACGGTAAAGACGACGTCCTGGATATCGTAGCCTTTGCCCGCCAATGCCTTTGCGTTCTCCCGAACGTTCTTCAATTCCATAGCCAGTAGCTCTTCAACTGTGTATGACTTGTCCTCGGCGAAGACACCGCTCTGGAAGCTAACCGTCTTACGACCATCTGTGCCTGTAACTTCGAGCGCGGGGTATCTCTCCTTGTACGTGCCCACGATATCGCTCTCACTTGACACACCCAAAAGATGTTTCAGATTCGGGTACACATCGCCCGGGAACCGTCCCTGTAGCGCAATCGCATCGCCGCCGTAAAAGCGTTCGGGGTACGAGCCAGCGGGAAGCGCGCCACCTTTCGAAGGCTTGAACGCAACGGCTGACGTCTCTTTCCGTTTCGAATCTTTGGTCAAGACGATTTCGAGGGGGACACCGGGCTTTACTAGCGCGGCTTTGATATATTCGGTGCCCAGGTCAACACCTATGACTGCTGAGGCGGCGGATGCGGTGGACGAGAAGAGGAAGACGAGACCGAGAAGGATGGTGCCGGGTGAGAGGTGGCCTCTCCGGCGTCCGGGTGGCGCCATGATGTGTGGTAGGAAGGAGTGCAAGGTGTCGTCAACTTGCAGGCGTGGGACAGGTTGTGGTGGGATGTACGTCGCGGGGAAAGAGCAAGGTCTATGTTCGAGTAGCAAGCCTCGATAGAAGAGAAGAGAAGGAACGGGAATCTATCCCAAGAAAAAGCGGTGTGAATGAATTGTCGGTCGAAACCGTGGTCCTTTTCAGTCGTGAAATGGGTGGGTGGTTTCGTAGTAAATGTACTTGGGGTCGAGCTACCCTGTTCCGAACTTATTTGACACCTGGTCTTTGTCGAAAGGCCAGTTTGACGTTATATCGCCCAACGCACGTCACAAGTAAAGGCTATTGTTTTATCTAAAGCTTGATTCACTGTTGCCTAGAGCTGCTTTTGGGATAAGGACATTTGTTCTTATGTAGTTCTTGTGTCGAGTACTCTGTACGGCCTTCGAGATCCTTTGACTGTTGTGGCCAATCACATCATCAGGACACCCGTCTTCGCCGCAATGCAGCAGCGCAACCATGTCCTGCCTGCAACTTGCAGCAACGCCTGATGCTCTGCAGCATGATGCATGTGTCTGAAGGAACTCACGCCGTGTTCTAGTTGCTGCTGTCCACACAGCCTAGCAATGGGTTGTTACCTCTAATACCGGTCCATCATATCCCACGGTTAAACTCGACCAAGCCGTCCTTGCCGCCGCGCTCATGAAACTCGGGCTCCAGAGTCTTCGCACTAACAGCCTGACGTTGCGGGAATGCAGCGAGCGCAAGCGGCAGCGCAAAGATAGACGTCGTGAAAATGAGTCCTGCTTGCGCGTTAGCTAACCCTACCATCGTCCTACAGGACCGTCCACAATAACTCACCCAGATTAACGGGAGTCACCATCCTGGGTCTCTGCTTAAGCCACTCTGTCTTTTGTAACTTGACAAGAAGAAGAGGAGGCAACACCATGATAGGCGTTGCGTTAAGCACACGACTCAGCGCGGTCTCACCCACTGCGAGTGTAGCCGCTTTCTTGCTCTTGCCCAATGGCTTGACCTCCAGATCGCCTGTATCTACTCTTTGTCGCTCGGCTTCTGATAGCGCGGGGTATACGTCAATGCCCTGTCTGATTTCCTCGCCGCGCATTAGGAACACATTGAGTGCACCAGCTGTTGCGACAGCCGCGAAAGGCACTAATCGACCCGCGATAACTTTTGCATTAGGCGAGAGGCTCTTGAGGCGGGGTACCAGCGCATTGAGACCGAGCGCGACACCGCAGGATGCGCTGACAGCGAGGAGGTATGACTGCACAATGGTCGAGGTAGAAAGCGGGATCGACTTATTCGCGTTGGAGAAGTTGATTCCGACGTTGACAGACTGGTTTGTGACTTGCCATCCTAGTGTTCCCACCGTCTGTACACAGTCAGTATTGTCGCCCTATCTCAGTATAGAGCCTCTCGTACGTACCCCGAGACCTGGTGTAAGCATTCCAGCCGTGACAACCAAGTTGGTCAGGACAAAGCTCGACATGCGGAAAGGCAGGAAGACTGGCTTGCCCGTGTCTTGCACTCTTGTCAGCGTCCTTGCCCTCATCGTGCCCTCACTGCACCGGTTGTAGTACCTGGGTGTATGGTAGAGTCGATGATCTTCTTCGCGTTCCATAGCTCCGGTGTCATCTCTGGGATCTTGCCCGTCTTGTATGCGGTAACGAGTTTCTTTGCATTTTCAAGGCCGGCCGACGAGGTGAGGAGGGTTCTGTCGCGCGTTGGTTAGTTATGACCAAACAATTCTGGAGGAACGGGAAAGTATTCGAAAGCCCAGAGTCGTGGTACTCACCACACCCAGTATCCGCGAGTAAACATCACATTCCACGCGCAGTATCTCACCTCGGATCTGATATATTCGCCGAATGCTGCACACGACCCCAGTACGTCCCTAGATCAAACTGCGAGACGGGCAAGTCGCGGTTCCCAGGTAATGAAGACGTCATATTGACAAATATGAAAATGCGAAAGCCGCGAGTGAAGCGAGTGAAGCAAGTGAAGCTTCAACAGGCCCGCCAGTTTGCGAGGATGAGGTTCTGTTTCTCGTGTGGGTAAATGTTGCAAGACGCAACGATATCGGCGATAATGCACACATCGAAGCGGGAACTAGCGACAAGCGCGATAGTACAATTCATCTTGCCATTTCTAACTACTGTCAGGCCTTTAAACCTAGCCTTTCTACGAGATTGATCCTCTTATATTATTAAAAAAAATTGAAAAAAGAGACCTCCGTGCGCGTGCATGCAAATAACGCTCTAGAGATTACAGAAGCCCCATCGCTGCTGCCCCTCCAAATATATGCCAAACGTTAACGCGGTGTAACCATTATGAAAACAAGCGCTTTTATGCAACAACCCAATTCAACCCGCATCTCGTTATCCATTATCTATCGCTCATTTCTTCTTCTTCTTAGACTTGCCACTGTCAGGCGTCGTTCCAAGTATGTCGTCGAATGTCTTGTTAGGGTCATGATTTGATGCCGGTCTCAGCGAGGGCGAGCCCATGGGCATTGGCGGAGCTACACCAGGAGGCAGAGGTAACGCTTCCAATCCTAGGTTCATGACACTCTCACGCCGACGGTCCGGGCTCTGAGAGCGACCACGAGCAGCCGCTGAAGGGTCAAGGAAACCAGGTGGCGGCGGTAACGGCGAAGCTTCCGCGTTAAGTTCCTGCATTGCGGCGTTGAGAAGTGTATCGTCCGCTGCCCATTCTTGTGCCTTCTTCCAGCAGTGAGATCTTCGGAAGGTGCCCTCAACTCCGTGTTCGACAACATCTGTTGGTAAGCTGACGACCTGTGCTCCTCCTGCTACACCGAACCATGTTCGAGATCGTGTTGTGTCCTCCCGAGCCCACGGTACACCGCTTCGAGGAACCTCGCACAAAAAGTACTCTACGCCCTCGGTAAACCGCACGCCGGGTGCGTCTACGACCAACATGGGTAGTGACTGGATGACGGCGTACAAAAATAGCCACTGTCCCGACCGCATGTCCCACATGTCGTCCATGTTAGAGCCTGTGGCTTGCTTAAACTCAAACTGGCGGAAAGCCTCCAAAAATGGTGTCTGCTGCTCGGCGTCTGCGTTATGCGATTGCTTTAGCAGTTTCGCGACATCATCTTTATGCAGCTTCTTCCCACGCGCTTTCGCGTCCTTCTTCTTGTCGCCCGTCTTTGCGTTCTGCGAGATGGGGTATAGCGGTAGATCAAAAGGAATCGGTGGCGCGACTGGTGGAGTGCTACGATCGTATTCGCTCAAGACTTTTCGAAGCGCACGCGCAACGATGGATTCGATATCCGTTCCCTCGTCTTCTGCGATAAAGCCATCCGCGGTGCGGTTGGTCAAGTTCTTCCTGTCTACGAGGAGGTCATATAAGTTGGACATGTCGCGGTAAATCTCCAGCAACACCAGTCGGTTGAGACCGCTCGTGGTCAGGTTGTTCTTCTTCGACTTGGCTTTCGGTAGCCATGAACCGTACTTGTGCCTGTAGTAGTCCATAACGAATGACTTGGTCGTCATGAAGGCAGCCCTCCATTTCTTGAAGCTAATGACCTTGCCTTCGCTTGCCATGGCGCTGTTCATGATACCGGCGAAGATATTTGGAAACTCAAAGTCTTTGAGCTTTCCATTGACGGTGGCTTCGCGGTTGTCCAGATCCATAGCAGCACGGGTTAGCCGCGTAGCACTCTTGGGGCTGACCATGGCAAATTTGGGCGAGTCTAGCTCTTTGATGCTGTCGTACTTTCCAGCAGCGTGGACGAAGCCTTCCGTGTACAGTGACATGGAGCGCAACTTTTCTCCCAGTACGATGGCTTCTATGGTCTTCTCGCGGCTGTGGCGGACATCTGCAAGGGTCAATTCGTCCACATAGCAGTCAAAGCTCGAAGCAGCGACTTCACCAAAGGTGGATCCGTCGACGTTGGAGAAAGCATAGTGCGATAGTATGTCGCCTATCCGCAAGAATATGTCGAATATGTCCGAATGACGCTCCGTAGCGACCAGCGATTGTCCAATGAGGAAAGCGAAGAAGTTGCGGTACGTGACCAATGTGTCGGTATCGTTTGCGTTGAGTCGTGGTTCTTGAGGAGTAATGGCAGAGTCTGAGCTCAGCGAGATCGGCATGTAGAGATGCTTCTCGGTGTACTCGTCCTCTATGGCGTCGCTTAGCGCTCTGGACCCTTTGGATATGGATTCGTCCGAGCTTCCTATCTGACTTTGGTCGGGGGACCCGGTCCGTGACTGTTCGCCATAAGCGTCGCGGGACACACGTCGCGACGTCCTGTCCGCCAGGTCTAGCGGAGGCACATTTGCATCGCTGTAGAGGCTGCCGTGTACAAGTCGGGTGAGCTGCTGCGATGCTGCGTAGACGGAGGAGTCGATACGGAAGGAGGGGCCCTTGTCAGATGTGCGGGGAAAGAGGTAGACAAATGTGTCTCCTGCATCGTCCCATAGTTCAGGTACCTTTTAGCTCGTCAGTACACTCAGCACCGTACTTTCGGAATCACAGCACGCTACCTTTTCACCGTTTAACAAAAACGTCAGGTTGTATGGCACTTTGCCCTTGTGTCCAACTATCCACGCAAGCGGGCTAGCATTGCCTGACGATGTCCGGCTATGCGCGCCACCTATTCCCTCAATGCCATTTGGGGGAGCTCCAAATAGGCCGCTCTTCCTGCGCAGTTTCTTCAGCTTGCCCTCAGGGGATGGATCCAAGCTCGGTGTTCCTGGTCGGCTACTAGCTGGAGACGATGCGCGCGAAGGGACGTCAAGCGGCGGCGGCGGCTCGAGGGGCTCAAGGTCGGCAGGCTCAACTGGTTGGATAGTGGGGTTGGATAGAGACACCTGACGTGGAGATGTGGGCGCAGCTGGTGGGGGATATTCGGGCGTGAGGTGTGTCGCAGAAGAGAGGCGGTTGCGCACTTTGGTCAGGCGGCTGCTTGACTCTGACGAGGTAGGCGTTGGGCTCAGCTTCGTATCCGTAGACCCTGATGGCTCGGACGATCCAGATGATCCGAACAGACTCGACAGCCGACGGCTCGACTTCTTCTTGTCTCCCAGCATGGCGAAGCGTTCTGGTCCTCGTCTACGCGGCTCAGGAGGAGCAAGAGTTGGGGTATCGTGAAGCGCAAGAAAATACTATGCGCTCAGCAACATAGGGTCAAGAAAACACAGCGGATAGCAAACACGAGCACCACACATGCAGGGCCCCGGGCCGGTCAAGGTAGTATATAGTCGAAGGGAAACTGAAAAGCTTAGTGAAAGGACTAGGTGATCTATATTTGAGCTGTTGCAGATCCGTCAGTGTCGCAACCATGCTAGTGCACAAGTAACGTCAAAGGGTTGGGTGGCCACAACGTGGGTCAATCATTGCCAGCTGTCATTGGTTTTTCTCTCCAGCCTGAAGGGTGTATTTGCAGCTGGGTACGCCCGACCGGCCACTCAGCGGCCTCTTGGACATACAAAAGGACCCTTTACCGGTGTTGGCTCACTCCTGCGAGCACCTGCGCCTCATGCTGCGGGCAAGGCCCACCTCATCCACGGAAGCGGACCCATGCTCCGCCGCGTCGTGTCAAAGATGATTGTTTCGAGTTCTTCCCAGCCTTCAAGCATATGGTCGTCTATGCAAATCTGTGTGACACCTCGAACGGTGTGTGTATAAAGCCGCAGCTGATATGACATATTTTTTTCTTTCGTATATTTGCAACACCTCTCGGTTATATCTATTGGAAGGCGCGGCGGCTTCGTTCTTTAAGCGAGTGGATGACGTACCATCTCTAATCGATAGCGTGCACCCGAGGCCTCGTGCCTGTCATATACACGTGCAACGAGCCGCGCCCTACGCGTGCGTAGGCGTGGAAATGACGAACCACATCCCTACTTCAAAGTCCATCAAAGCACTGCCAATTCATCTCCGCACTTCGCATCTGATATAATATCAAAACGCTCACGATATTGCTTGCCTGAGTCCACTCCGCCCCATACTTGCGCACCAGCCACTTTCGGCACGTAGCCGTGTTCCGACGCCGCGTTAACCTCAATGCTGAACACGGCTTCATTAGCACTCAATAAAGAATTCGACATGGGCGGCGGAGAAACTATCGCGGACCAAGTACTCAAGTCGTTCGCCCTACCGGACGTCGTCGGCTCAAAGACTAGCTCCAAGAAGCTGATCAATCTTTTGAGAGGGCACGTGCCCCTGCTATTCATGCAAACCCGTATACCCTTTTGGGACATTACGCGGCCCAATAAGACGCATCAAAGCCCCGAGTAATCGCTAACAGCACCAGATGGCCGAACTTGTCTTTATTGCCGACGCAATTGCTCGATAAAGCTGCCCATAATGTACTCCAGCAGAAGCCCATTGCGTACCCGGCCATGTGCTATGGGCCTGATGCGGGTGACCCGAGGCTGCGTAACAACATTGCGCAATGGCTCACCAAGTTCTACAAGCCTGCGGACCCAGTATCCAAAGAACGCATATGCGTTTCTGGCGGGGCTTCCCAGAACCTAGCCTGCCTACTTCAAGATTTCACAGACCCGGTATATACAAGGAATGTTTGGATAGTAGCTCCGGCGTATATGCTTGCATTCCGTATATTCGAGGATGCTGGGTTCCACAAAAAGCTCCGGGCCGTGCCTGAGGATAAAGAGGGTATTGACATGTCGTATTTGAGGGACCAGATTAGGCAGAGCGAAGAGAAAGCAAAATCCGAAAATAACAATGAACCGGTGAGTTGCTGCCAAGATCGCCTTGAATAGTCTGCCTGGAATCGGAGTCTGTCATTACCTTGTTCCAGGTATTACTATTGACCACACGTTCATCATTATATGGCCTCACTAATAACATGCCTAGCAATTCAAACCTCCGAGGGCTTCGAATAAGATTTACAAACATGTAATCTATGCGGTGCCAGGATTTTCCAATCCCAGTTCCAAGACGATGAGCCTGAGCAGAAGAGAGGAGTTAGTACGTCTGGCACGAGAATACGATGCCCTTATCATCACAGACGACGTATACGACTTCCTGCAATGGCCATCAAGTCTCAACCCTAGTACACTTTCCATCGAGAAAGCTAGTTTGCCCCGGATCGTCGACGTCGACAGGTATCTCGACGGAGGCGCCGAAAGACATGGCGCAGATGGCTTCGGTAACGCAGTCTCAAATGGATCGTTTTCCAAGATTTTTGGCCCCGGTTTACGTACGGGTTGGTGTGAAGGAACGCCCAAGATGACATATGGGGTATCGCAAACGTAAGCATGCCTTCCGACAGTTTCGTCCACCCTTACTATCGCCATGTGCCATCACTCGTACTGCACTTGAGGTACCCGAGATCGATACAACAACGCCCAGATCGACCTCAAGTGCCGATGCCATGGCAACGTCTCGCTCAAGCCGACAATGGCAACTAACGTGTTCCAGAGGATCTAGCCGTTCGGGGGGAGCACCCAGCCAGCTGACAGCCTGTTTTGTGGCCGAGACACTGGAGACAGGAGAGCTCCAACGCTACGTGTATGACAGACTTCAGCCAACATATGGTAATCGGTATCGCCGAATGCTGGAAGCGATTAACCAGCACCTCATCCCACTGGGCGTTCGCGTTCCCCAAACCGATCGCGAAGTCGTCGGCGGATATTTCATCTGGCTGACGTTGCCTTCTCCGCTGAAAGGTGCAGTGGTAGCACAACGCGCAAAGGAAGATGAGAATCTGGCAGTCGCACAGGTGAGTACAAGCCACGATCACGTCCCAAATCTAGAGTCTGGGTGCAGCTAACCACGGCGCTTGTGTAGGGCGAGATGTTTGAAGTAAATATGCTTCTCTACTGCCATGGACTCACAGCTGACGGATGCAGGTACCCGGCGACACCGGACATGACGGCACGTCTTTTAGCAACGACATTAGAGTTTGCTTTGCGGTATGTACTCCTAGAATGGACCTCTGAACTGTTACTAACGTACTGCTAGTGGGAAGAGGAAGACATGCTTGCTGAAGGCATCGAGCGACTTGCCACAGTCATTAGCCGCATGCTAAATGAAGAAGCCAATGGAGGTCAGCCAACTCATCGTGCGGCTGCCCAAGAAGAGGACGCGAAGAACTTGTGGTGATTGAGAAGGGGGCAAGAAAGGCGAATGAAATGGTCGATCGCGGAGTCTAGGTGAATCGCATGTTATCAGCCACAATCTAGATCACGCACAAACTTTCGCAGCAGCACAAGGCAAGAGTTACGTAGCACGATTCAGACAATATCATTCGTCGAAGATGCTATAATAGAGCCTTATAGAGGTTGCGTTAAGCACAAGGGATCTGCAAGGCCAACCTTCGAGTTTCATCAGAACATCCCCCATGCCCCACACCAGCACCCTGAACGAAATGAAAAGCATTATACCCGGTGCCGGCGCGAAACACAGTGACCGTTGAACATGCAACCTCAGGCGGCGACTGGCACAGTATAGCGTTGTTTCTGAGGTTTGTGTACTTGCATAAGGAACTTTCGGAGCGCGTCATGTCTAAAGAAGCGATCGAGGTCGTGTTCGGGACGAGCTTCTTTTGTCTCCGCAAGGCTCGTTCAACGTTGCGCACAACGCTCAGCAAAAATGTGGAATGTTTCTCTTCGCGCATCGTCGACACGTCTTGCCTCCACAATAGCTGCAAAGATGCACATGCCGAGGCAGACAGAGGCGAAGTCGTGGTCGAGTACAATGCCAGCCCATGACTCTCAAGCGCCCTCTTGGATGTGGACCGGCGCATCGCAGTGTATCCACGATCTCCTGCCGGCCCGTCGGGTCGAATTGCACAAAGGTGCGCGCGTGGCGTTGAGGCGCTGGCGAATGCTTTTATCAACGCGTCGAGCGAGCGAGGGCCTGTCGATGCCCTGGCGTTTCATAGCCGTCTCACGTCCGGCCGTCGGTTGTGGCGCTACCAGTCAGATCCTTGTTTTCCCTTCAGGAACAAACGCTCGCCTCGCAGCCTCTAAACTTCCTCAACCACTCGTTGGCCATCGTCTCCCGCTTGTTTCACGCGGAGAAAGGGATACAACGGGACAGTCTTGTGGGCCTTGCTAGTGGAGATCCTAGGTAATTTTGGACGTACGCGACGGCGACAGGGTCACATTCACGCAACCACTTCTCGGCACTTGTCTGCAGGCGTGGAATGCGGCTTGCGAACATGGTCGCAGGTGGTCGCAATGAGGCGAGAAAGAAAGATGAGCTGTTGTGTGAATCGGGGAGTGCAGCTGGACATGATGAAGAGGCGGCAAAAGAGCGTTGGTATCACGATGAAGACGAGGATATAAGATGTCTACTCGATGCCGGGGAACATGAATCGAGCACAGCACAGCGAACATCACACTCCGGCTATTCGAAACCTGAAACAAGGAGTTTCCAGAACTTTGATTGGCGCCACGAAACTATTGTAAGTTCCTTCCCGAATGAACTGCTGTACTTATACAATGCGTCGGCCCCCTCCCATCACTTTTTCCTCTTCACGCAGGCTACCTGTCAGCTACTAGCACTCCATTGTGTGCCTTCAGTTCTTATTGTTTTCTGTCATTCATTTCTACTGTGTAGCAGTTCTCTTCTCACAACAACATTCCTACCTTCTACCACTTTCGTTGCCAGTCAACCTTACTACTCTATCCACCACTTCGCAATCCTGCAATTTCCCAACACAACAAATCAACAACACTATCAACGTCTTTTGCAGGTCAACTGACGACGATACTTTCAGTCTTTGTGGTCAATCTTTCCACGGTTAACAACTCCGAATTTTAACGCACGCACTGTCATTATGGTTGCCTTTAGCGCTGGAGCGCTTCTACTGACGCTGCGCGTCCTCCTTTCCGCCACTCCCTCTACTGCGGTGCCTGTTGCTCAAGCACCAGCTCCATCAGCATCAGCAGCACCGGTACCATCGGCCGCACCGGCACCAGCACCTCCAGCTGGTGCCTCTGGCTACTGGCTTGAGACCATCAAGCGCCAGGGCCAGGCTCCATTCAACCCCAACCCCGAATCCTACAAGGTCTTCCGCAATGTCAAGGAGCTCGGGGCCAAGGGCGATGGTTCCACCGACGACACCGACATCATCAACAAGATCATCGCTGATGGCGACCGTTGCGGCGAGGGCTGCGACTCGACTACCACAACACCAGCGCTCATCTACTTTCCCGCCGGTACTTACATGATCAGCAAGCCCATCATCCAATACTACTACACCCAGTTCGTCGGTGACCCATTGAACATGCCTATTCTCAAGGCTACCGCGGACTTCGAGGGTATGGGTTTGATCGATGCCGATCCCTACATCCCAGGCGGTGATGGCGCCAACTGGTACACCAACCAGAACAACTTCTACCGTCAGGTCCGCAACTTCGTCATCGACATTTCGGCTACCAAGGCTGCTGCTGGAATCCACTGGCAGGTCTCCCAAGCTACCAGTCTCCAGAACATTGTTTTCGAGATGGCCAAGGGTGACGCTGGCAAAGACCAGAAGGGTATCTTCCAGGACAACGGTTCCGGTGGCTTCATGACCGACTTGACCTTCAACGGTGGTGCCATTGGTGCCTTCATGGGTTCCCAACAGTTCACCATCCGCAATATGACCTTCAATGACTGCGGTACCGCCATCTTCCAGAACTGGAACTGGGTCTTCACGTACAAGAGCATCTTCATCAACAACTGCCAGGTCGGTCTTGACATGGCCAACAGCCCCGCTAACCAAACTGTCGGCTCTGTTCTCCTACTGGACAGCAAGTTCACCAACACCCCCATCGGTATTAACTCGTCTTTCACCGAAAACAGCATTCCCACTACCGGCGGTACCCTCATTCTCGACAACTGTGATTTCAGCGGTTCCGAGAAGGCTATTGTTGGTGCTGCTGGTAACACTATCCTCGAGGGTGGCAAGAAGATCGAGACCTGGGCTCAGGGTAACGCACTCGCTGCCGGAGCAACCCTAGGTCGTGTTCAGGGTGACGTCAACGGCGCACCCGCGAAGCCCCAGAGCCTCCAAGGCAACAACGGTTGGTTCGAGCGCAGCAAGCCCCAGTACGAAAACGTCGATGTCTCTAAGTTCGTCAGCCTCAAATCCAAGGGTGCAAAGGGTGACGGTAAGACCGACGACACTACTGCCATCCAGGCTGCTATCGATGGTCTCCAGGAGGGCGAGGTTCTCCACGTCGACCACGGTGCCTACCTCATCACCAAGACTGTTGTCATCCCTGCTGAGAAGAACGTCAAGATGGTCGGCGAGGTTTACAGCACTTTCTTCATCACCGGCGAGTTCTTCTCTAACATGGACGACCCCAAGCCTGGATTCCAAATTGGCGCCAAGAGCGGTGACAAAGGTTCTTTCGAGGCCTCCGATCTCATCATCGGCACTCAAGGTCCTGCTCCCGGTGGTATCTTGATGGAGTGGAACATCAACGCAGAGAGTGGCGCAGCCGGTCTTTGGGACGTTCACTTCCGTGTTGGTGGCTACGCTGGAACCAAGCTCCAGTCCTCCAACTGCAAGAAGAACCCCGATGCCACCCATGAGCCCAACCCAGAGTGCATCGGCTCCTTCATGCAACTCCACATCACCAAGAACTCTAATGGTTATTTCGAGAACGTCTGGCTCTGGACCGCCGACCACGAGCTCGACCAGGACGATCACTCTCAAATCGACATCTACAACGGTCGCGGTATGCTCGTCGAGTCTCAAGGCCCCGTCTGGATGTACGGTACTGCATCCGAGCACTCGCAAATGTCGCAGTACCAGTTCTCCGGCGCAAAGGACATCTTCTACGGTGCTATTCAAACTGAGACGCCGTACTACCAGCCTAACCCCACTGCTGCCGTCCCCTTCACCAAGAACGACAAGTTCTTTGACCCCGATATGAGCCAAGCCAAGGCTGCTTGGGCTGTCCGTGTCACAGATGGCAGCGAGAGCATCTGGAGCTACGGCGCGGGTACCTACTCCTTCTTCCAGAACTACGACCAAGACTGTGTTGTTGGCCAGAACTGCCAGCAGGATATGAACGAGATTGCCAACTCGACCAACATCAACTGGTTCGGTCTGTCGACCAAGGCTTCAGTCAACATGATCACTATGGGTGGCCAGGGTCTTGCTAAGGATGAGGACAACCGTTCCAACTTCTGCGCTACCCTTGCTATCTTCGCTCAGGCGTAGATGCTGTACTGTCCTTTCCGACACGCAACGCGGACTCCTCGATGGAAGTTCCTCGCTATAGACCTCTTCACTTCTTTCCCCTTCTTTACGGGGCCTGTTTTACGAACATGTATACCCATCTGTTTTTCCTGTTCTGTCCTTGTCCAATAAAGAGGCGGAATGTCACACTCACTTAGCATTACGCTGCGACGAAGTTGAGAGCATAAATATACCCCTGGGCAGGATGAGGAGTTTGGGCCGGATCCTTTTTTTCTTCTTGAGTAAATCAATGACATGAATTTGATATCATGGTTGACAAAAGCTTTTGTTGTTTGCCTGTGATGTCCTTTCTAGAGGTGCATGTGATAGAACTTAATGAGGTGAGAATGCGCAGATAGTACAGATGTAAGGGGGCCTCTAGGCTCGCCAAAACTCACCTCCCCGCGTGCACGTCCTCGGGAAAAACTTCCCCGCGCAGAATCTCGTAGCTCGAGTCTCTGCGAAACTTGACTTTCTCACACAACCTCAGTGCCACGATTGTCACTTGCGCAAATATGTCTGAACCGTCGGACGACTCTATGCGACCCGCGAAACGCGCGCGACTTGACGATAATACCGCTTCATCCCTCTCCGCAGCCTCTGCTGCACCATCTCAGACAGCTCCAATACCTTCAGCGCCAGCATCGGTCGACGCGGACCTGGAGCGCGAAGTACGCGCTGGTATAATCGAGTATGTCTGCCCGGACAACCTGGGCTTCACTGGTGTCCTGAAGCAGAGGTATACAGATTTCTTGGTTAATGAGATCGGACTCGATGGGCAAGTGCTACATTTGAAGAGCACGCAGGTGGAAGAGAAGAAGAAGGTCGTGAAAGAAAACGTGGAGGCGGCCAACGGTGCGAGTAAAGACAAGCTGGAGAGTACGGTAGCCACCGAAGACAAGGCCGATGCTGTTATGCAGGATGCGGGCGTTGCTGGTGAGACTACACTTGCAGTACCGGAACCGGCAAAAGTTGAGAATGCGCCGAAAGAGTCTGAGAACGAAGGAGAGCAGATCATTGACAAACCGCCGGCAGCCAAGGAAGAGCCAGAAGAAGAGGTAGGTGAATTGCAAGCGCATAACGGGCGCAGATGCTAACACCATGCAGTTGTCAGAAGAGGATCGCAACACACTACATTCGATATTCGGCGAGAAAACCACCGACGAGATCGTCAAACTTGTCGGACAAGTACGGAAACGCGAATCGAAGAAAGCGAAAGACTTCAAAGCCGTCATATCATCGCCCATAACCGACAAGGACAAGCGCACCCAAGCTCATCAGAGTTTGCGTCGCATTTTCCCCAACCTGCTCGAGAGTGCTATGGAGGAGAACCAATGTATACGCATCAAGGCAACTCCGCCAGCGGAGCGCAAGAAGAAGAAGAGCAAGGGTGGCGGAAGGGAGCAAAATGACCAGGGACGGCGACGAGGAGGTCAGGATTGGGAGGAGCTTGGTGGTGAATACCTGCACTTCAACCTGTACAAGGAAAACAAAGACACAATGGAGGTTATCGGCTTCCTGGGAAGTAAGCTTAACTGTGGTGCCAAGGGGTTCGGCTTTGCAGGCACAAAAGATAGACGAGCATGCACTGTTCAAAGAGTCTGCGTCAGGCGCCAAACAGCGCAGCGCATGCAGGCCTTCAACAAGACCCTGTTCAATGCCGCGGTAGGAGACTTTGAGTACCGCCATAATGATCTGAAGCTTGGAGACTTGATGGGTAATGAGTTTACCATTACGCTCCGAGACTGTCACTTCCAGAGCGAAGAAGGACTAGACTTTGCTCAACGACGCAAGCTCGCCAACGACGTGGTCAGCAAGGCAATCAGTGATTTCAGTGAAAAGGGCTTCATCAACTACTACGGTCTCCAACGCTTCGGTTCCTTTGCCGCAAGTACCGATGCCATCGGCCGTAAAATGCTACAAGACGACCTCAAAGGCGCGGTCGAAGACCTTCTTGCATACAGCGACACCGCTCTCGCTGCCGCGAACAACGAATCCACCTCCGTCCAAGTCTCTCAGGACGACCGCAACCGCGCACACGCCCTCCATATCTGGAAAACAAAAGGCAGCGGCGCTGAAGCCCTCGAGTTCCTGCCCCGAAAATTCACGGCAGAGCGAAATATCATCCAACACCTCAGTTCCCGAAACAGCAAATCAGGTCGTTACGACCGCAAAACAGATTGGCAGGGCGCGCTCATGACGATCCCTCGTACACTGCGCCTCATGTACGTCCATGCCTACCAATCCCTGGTCTGGAACACCGTTGCGGGAAAACGCTGGGCCGAACACGGAGACAAAGTGATTGAGGGGGACCTCGTCCTCGTAAACGAACACCGGGATAAAGAAGAAAATGCCCCTGCTAAGACAACAACACCAACACACGACCAAGACGGCGAAGCCATCATAAACCCTTCAGGCGCCGACTCCTCCCTTGCACCCGAAGCAGATTTTGAGCGCGCCCGCCCTCTTACCGCGTCAGAAGCAGCGTCCGGCAAATACAGTATCTGGGACGTTGTGCTCCCGCAACCAGGGTTTGATGTCGAGTACCCCCGGAATTCGATTGGACAGTTTTACAAGGAGTTTATGGGAAGTGAGAAGGGCGGAGGACTTGATCCAAGCGATATGCGGAGGAGTTGGAGGGAGGTTAGTTTGAGTGGCGGGTACAGGAAGTTTTTGGCTAGGCCGTTGCAGCCACTCACTTTTGAGGTGCACGAGTACAAGAAGGTGGATGAGCAGTTTGTCGAGACTGACATGCAGAGGTTGGGGAGAGAGAGGGACGTTGGTCACAAAACCCAAGAGAAAGAGGATGGGAAGAAGGAGGAGAGTGTGGATGCACAGATGGAAGACGGAGAGGATAAGGAAGAGGTGAAGGAAGAGGAAGACAAGATTGCAGTTGTGCTCAAGCTGCAGTTGGCGAGTAGTCAGTATGCTACTATGGCGCTGAGGGAGTTGATGAAGGCTGGTGGTGTCAGGGCATACCAGCCCGCGTTCATGGGTGGCAGATGATAGAGCACTGTAGTTACATAGGTATTAAGGAAGGAAGAGATAGCTGGACTTGATGTATCGAATGATGCCTGTATGACAGTGTATAATAGCGTCGTTGTGCATTTCGATCACCGTATATGACGTCTAGGCTGTTTGTCTGCTGCCTTGATGGTTCTTTTAAACTCCGCGGCTCCCTTACGCCCCCCTCCTCATGCCTTGTAAACCCAATAGACGTGTGTTACTCGGTCAAAGGCTGTGTAGGCATGGTCAGCGACGACAGTGGGCGTCGCCTTCTTTGACAAGGACGGTATTCTGTGCGAGCCACGTTTCGACGAGGATACGGTGCTGACGCAGACACTCAAGCCTTGCTTGTTGGTGATTGTCGTCGAGGTGACTGACGTGCCAGTTGTTGTACCCGACAACGTGTATATGTGTTCATTCCTCTTCAACCTGGACTTCACACAGCATCATCCGCTTCCTTGTACGGAGCCTGAAGTATGGGTGTTGACTTAGGTCTTGCAGGTACACTCTCCTCACTCGTATGTCTCCGGTGAAATCCCCAGCTGACACGCACAGGCTGTCGCGACTGGTTCTCCTTCTCCTTCTCCTTTTCCTTCTCCCACAGAGGCATGTCGGTAGCACCAGACTCGGTTCGACCCAGAATGGGGTCGGTGCTCGTCCGCCCTCTAAGTCCAATGTCTGATGTGAAAGGGGTGACCGCACTGTCCGGTCGCACTACGTACTCGGTATACGAAGGCTTAGTGACCAGGTTTGGCAGGGAAGCCTTGCGCTCACTGCTAAAGTAGCTTTGATCGATCTCGGAAAGTGCAACATCTCGTCGCGATCGCCGCGACACAGATTGTACTTTTGAATGTTCGTTGTTCGATCGGTGGCTTGATCGTAGACTTCTTGATATGTGGGAGACGGCACTCGATTCGACTGCTTGACGAAGTGCTAGTTTCATGAGTGGTCGCAGGGTTGCGAGACAGCCGGCGACGATACATGCGCCGGCTTCGATGGTACTCCATATGGAGATGTTGACGATGTTCCAGAAGAAGTCGTCGGTCTGAGTCAGGCCGTCTATGTAGCGGAAGCGGATCCCGGAACAGATGCAGCCGCTGGGTATGTTAGTAAGGATGATTAGAGGTAGCTTGGAAGGAGACGTACAGAGCTGCTAAGCATAGAATAAAGCCGACAGAGAACTTGGACCTCTTGTCCATATTGGCATACCAGAGAATGGGGACGGGTAGTAACAAGAAGACAACGTCTGTGAAAGTACTGAAAGCGGCTGTGATGTATGTCGTTAGCTGACGTACAGGTAGTCGATTTGCAATGCTACATACCTTGCTGATAGGCCATGAACAAGTCAAGGTCCCGCGACGCGCATTCATTTATGAGCTGGTTCATTGCGTACTTTTCCAGACTGGGCCCACATCTGAAGAAGCAGTAGAAGAAGGCAGATGCCGATGAGATGATGTTGACGCCAACAGTAACGTAGACGAGGATGAAGTGACAACGCTTGACCATGATGCGGAGGAAGAATATTGCGAGAGATATCTTGACTATCATGACGGTGATGATGTAAGTAGCTTCGCTGACAACGACCCACTACGATTGTGAGCATGATGGTAAGGGACAACTAGCAGGATAAGTACCTTTGTCAACGACTGCAACTGGTCCAAGCCGGTGACATGGGTGCCTCCGCCATTAGATTCGATATATAGAGTCGATGCACAGTAAACAGTGAATGTCATCTACCAGTGTTAGTTGAAGGCTTCTGTCGGCGAGAATGTCGATGAACTTACCCCTGCAAGGATCATAATACTATCGTCCCAGCCAAAGTTCGAGATGACGTAGGTGCGAGTCCATATCCTCAGTAAGATGAAGAACCAGGCCAAGGCCATGAAAGCGATGGTAATCCGTAGTTGCTGTTCGGTGGACTGCGCCAGATCAGTCGCGCTGTGCATTATGGTCGAGAGCGCCAGGATGAACCTGATCTCGCACGACGTGATAGTGGCCTCGAACAAGGTGACAGACGAAGGAGTACGGGCTTCTTCAAGACGAATGATGAAGAAGGATTGTAGCAGCCAAATAAGTGGCTTGGGGACTACATATCCTCTGTAGCTGACTAGGGTATTTTATGTAGTACCACGTCTCGTTGCAAGCCACGTTCAAAGCAACGGTACGGAGACGTATAGAACGAATCTAGAATGACGTTTTGCTCAAAGATAGCACAGCACAGTATGATCCTTCAAGAAAAAGAAACAACCAAAGGAGGTTTGGGACCTGCATATGTGGGAAGGGACCGGCTTAAGGTTCTGCATCATTATGTTGGGGAAGTTTGGTTGACTATTGTTGTAGTACCTGCAGCGCGGCCCATCCAGGTCGTCAGCTCCTGTTAGACTGTCAATGGCGGCCTTCTCCGCCCTCAAGCATACTTTGGAGTTGTATCGAAAACTCTAATTCGACCGGCTGGGGCGAATCCGACGCTCGCTGGTGTTGTCACTTGTAAGGCCGCGCTGCGGGGGACGTTCGCTAGCGTGCCGCGGGTATTGGGCTCCGCTCCGGAGCCTCCTCCGATGCTCGTACATACATCACATCTTATATAGCGATATATGTATGTCGATGAATGGGGGCGGATGCGAACCGATTGATAGTGTGGAGTGTGGATTGTGGAGGAGTTGCAGACAGTGCCAGGTACATGGCGCATATAGGCGAAAGGGGAAGTGAAGCAATCTCCCTGACGCTTGGGCCTCTGGATTCCGAACTTCATCGCAAACACGACCCTGCAGAGTGTAGCAAGCACAAACGGCGACCGAAAAAGAAACCACATCTTGATCGTAGAAGCAGGGCCTCGATTTTGATGTCTTGTGCAACTCAAACCAACACTTCGACATCGCAACTCGCATTCGTATTTCGGGTACCTGGCGCGCGATCAACACCCATCCGCACAGTGTACCACATTCGGACCATCAGCTAGCGGCGCCACGATTCCCTAACCACCGAGGCAGGCCTAGGCAAACCATAGTTGGTGTCCTTGGGCAAAAGATTACCTATTGCGTCCTACTTCGGGCTCAGTCCTCCATCGTACCTAGTTTCAGGGTCACGGTTACCACAGGCCCTAGTCATCTCGAATCTTGCATCTCCGAGTCTCGTGACCTCAGCTTGCGATCGAGCCACAAAAAGCAAACATGCCACCCTCACTTCGTCGCCGAGGTGGCCAGGCCCAGCAGCAACATCACATGCCCTCACCCTCACCCCCAGAAGCAGATGACACGGATAGCGACTTGGAACTAGAAGGCCACCACCAAGAAGAGGAAGAGCAAGATCTCGATGGTAATGATGATGACGAAACACTCGGCGAGGACCTAGTAGGACTGGGGGCTGACGAGGAAGATGAAGAGGAGGAAGGCGACGAAGAACTAGACGACGAAGAAGCCCTTGGTTCACCAAACCACGCCGGCGACGCCCCATTACCCAATCTCGACCCTCCACCACCCTACCTCCGGGAAATATCTACCTTGGCATCCTGGACAGTCTCGTCTTCCAAGCCAGGTTGTTCGATCCCCCAACTTCGGCACCCTAATACGAATCTTTTCTGGCAATCTGATGGTCCTCAGCCGCATTACCTCAACATCCATTTCTTTAAGCTTGTTCGTATAGTCGGGTTAAGACTATACCTAGACTTTGAGCAAGATGAGAGTTACACGCCTACAAAGATCATCTTCCTTGCAGGCAGCGGGTTGAACGATCTCCAGGAGTGGGGCGAGATGAGATTGGAGAGCCCGAGAGGGTGGATATGGGCGGATTTCTCTGGTGTAGGAGACCCTGATAGCGACGATGATGGAGATGACGATGATGACAATAATACTGAAGGACGTGGTGTTGTGGGACAACAACCACAGCGTCTCCTCGGAGAAATCTCCCTCTTGAACGGAACCAGAAGGTCTGGAAATGACGCTGGATCCTCAGACTCTGAAAATGCGGCGCCGACTCAGGGGGCTGATGTAACGGATCTGGATTTGGACTTGGAGACTCCGGCGAATCAACAACAACAGCAACAGCAACAGCAACATACACCCTTCCCTCCTTACCCTGCCAATACACATACGCATAATCACATGTATACAACCCTCAAACTGTTCCTCCATCTCACACACACAACCTCCGCCACTACACCCATACCGTCACACCGACTCAACATCAACCATCCACACCTTCCCTTCCCCAAACTATATCGCGTCCCCACCCCGGAGCGCCATTCGCATCTCTCTCCCCCAACCCAGCTCCCCGCCCCATCCCATCATCTACTCAATCAACCCCCAAGTTACCAGTCCTCCGCGCTCATTTAGTGCAAATCAAGATACTGGAGAACCATCAGAATGGCAAGGACACACATTTAAGAGGGCTACAGATTTTTGCCAGAAACGACGAGGATGGACAGAAAGCAGGAGGGCATGGTGCAGGCAGTAACATCACAAAGGGGGTGACGAGTGGAGCACAGGGCGTGGAGCTGTTGAAGAGGGAAAAGAAAGAAAAGAGGCGGAGGGAGGAGGTCTTGGAGTTGGGTGGTGGGATTATGGGTATGGGATTGAGCGAGGGCAGTATACGCTGAAGTTGCCCAGGACTAAGCAAGTGAGGGCCAGCTGGCTAGTGTGTATTCCGCATGTAGGTTGAAAAAGAGAGGGAAAATAACAATAATAAAAAACCAACAATACAATCAACGGGCAGCAATAAAACATCACAATACTCCCAAGAACGACCAAGTATGAAGTATTGTGATAAATAAATTAGATATCCTAGCTGCGCCGTCCATCCATCCATTCACCTATTCCTTTCATCCTTTCCATTCATCATCCTTAGTTCTCATAGATATATCCTTTTGACTCTTAGTGTGTCCGGATACATTTTGCTTCCAGCAGACTCGCGCCCGGATATCTCGAGATTCTATATAGAGCGCCTGAGAAAACTGCTCGAACCCTACATTGGAACGGTGCGGCCGAAGACGGCGAACCGCTGGTCATCTGTTGCTTGTTTGCTGATTACCGCCCTAGATAAACTCCTTCATCTAGAAAAGACCCTTGCCATCCTTGTCACCAAGCGTGTTCTTGAGGTCCTTTGGCTCAGGCTCCTTCTCAGGCTTAGCTACCTGTTCATCGGTCTGACCGTTCTTCCCGCTCTTCTTGTTCTGCTTGCGAGGCAGCTTGCTGGGACTGCGATTCCGATCGGCGTTCTCCTTCGCCTTCTCAGCTTCTTCCTTGACATCCTCCTCGTTATCCTCATAAGCCTGCTCGACCTTGTCGCCCGCGGCCTCGGCCTTACCAACGAGGTCCTTGGCGATTTGCCTGGCCTTCTTGCTCGTAGCATCGGCACCCTCGTCGAGTTCCTGGAGCTTCTGGCTGACGCGACGGTTGACGCTCTCGAGGAACTTTTGGTTGGCTGGGCTCATGCTGCCTTTTCGCTCGTCTTTGATGTGGCCGTTGGTGGGCTTCCTTCCGCGAACAGCGTCTCTAGCCCTGTTCACACCCGAGGAAATGGCGTCTTCGGCGGACTTGTCAAGGGAGTCGAGTTCGCGCTCTACGCTGCGGCTGGCGTCACCGGCTGCGTCGGAGATTGTGCGGGGCTTGAAGCCCTTCTTCGCGTTGGGCGAGGAGCGACGGAGGTAGGACTTGAAGAAGAAGCGCATGAAGAGGATGGTGAGCGGTGCGAGGTAGATTAGGTTGACGTAGATGGCGAAAGCTTGGCCTGAAGTGTCTACGCAGGGAACAGTTTGGTACTCGGTCCGGTAGAAAGTCTTCTCGACGGTCTCATGAGGGTGGAAGAAGTCGTGGACCGCGTTGTGGGTAGGGGCGGGCTCTCCAGCGATAACTTGCTGCTGCTGCTGGCGAACCGGGATAGGCTGGCCAGGAACGGGAATGTTCTCTGCGAGACCTTCATCGCCAGCGGCGCGGTAGATGAGCTTCCTGAGGAAGGCTACAGCAACACCAGTCGCGGTGGGGAGGGCTTCGGCAACCGACTCAGTGGCAGAAGAAACTGCGGATGAGACGGAAGACGAGACGACCTTGGGAGCAACCTTCTCAGCAACCTTGTATGCGACCGAAACGGGGACGGTGTAGGAGATGAAGAGGTGGATGGCGGCGAAGGCGGATCCGACGAGGAACTGGGTGATTTGGAGCGTGGTAAGGGTTCGCTTGACGATGTTGGGGACGCGGTAGCCGAGAGCTGAGACGGTGTAGTAGGTGTACTGGAATTTGTTAGCGAGTACACTCTAGATATAATAATGACTGCGTACCATCATGGCGTGAATGCCAGAGTTGACCGTAGCAAACATCCAGATAGGAGGTGACATGAAGCGCATACCAGCCCACATGGACAACATGGCACCGGCGTGATGGTACTTCTGGAGGGTGGTGCTGCGCTTGCCCTTGGCCAGAATAATAGCCGTGTCAAGGACCTCGTAGAACTTGGAGAGGTAGAACCACCAGCCCCAGAAAGCGAGGCCCTCGTTCCAGATTCTGCCAACATCCGTCTGGTCTGGCAAGCCGGTGGGGCCGACGAGGACGTTGGAGTTCAAGCTGCTCCAGGCGTCATTGGTGTTGTTGTAGGTGACGGCGTCGCCCAGTCCTCGGGGACCGTGGATCTTGCAGAGGGCGTCGATGGTGCCGACAACGGCGTTGGGCTCGCTGTAGTGAGGGAAAGAGTGCTTGAGGCAGCGGATCATGGCCACGCAGGTAACGGCCGAGTAGACAGCCAAGAAGACATTGTGGAAGATGACAAAGGCGTAGAATGGGCGGGTTTTGGCAATCCTCCACGGCTTGTTACCGTGTTGGCGGTTGTACCAGTTGACGTAGGTGACGGTGACAAAGTAGATTGAGGCAATGGTCAGCGGGACCTTGTAGGACAAAGCGCCCTGGTAGATGTCTTCGGGGATGGGGAAAGGGTTCTGGAAGGTCGACTCGCCAGTCCATGGGGGAGGAATGGGAGAGGGAGCGGCATCGGGAGGGAATTGAAGAACAGCCCTCGACGGCCAGTCGCCGGGGTGTAGAGAGGGACCTGCGCCAGACATGGTCGTGGCTGTGGTTGTGATGGCGAAGATGCGCTGTTGTTGACAAGACTCAATTGAGGTTGGGGGAGGGTCTTGTTTGCTAGGCAGGCGCAATCGAGGTGCGGCGGAGTGAAAGGGTCCGGGGACCGCTGGGGTTTTTTCTGTGGTTCGGTGAGGTCAATGCCCAGCCGTTATGCCGCACGCGAAAGCAACAATCGGCCCTCGGAATTCTGGGCGTCCCTGTCGTCGGCGCAAATCCTGGATAGCTGTGTTGTTGTTTTCGCTGGCCCGGCACGCGATGTACACTCTTACCACACAAAACTGTCGGCGCACGAACCCAGGGCAAGGCGCACAAGTTATATTCGCAGAACAAGTGCACAGGTATGCTCGGAGCGAAGACGTATCCAGTAAAGGTGCGTCGGACAAGGAGCTAGAAGCAGCAGGCAAAGGCTCTAGACAGTCCTTGTTGGATAGGATGAGGATGATTAGCGTGTGATGCAACCGGGTCGACTTTTTGGACGAATAACATCGCAACCAGCTGCCGAGGCGAATGGCTACAAACTCCCACTGGACGACGAGGCCCTCATCGACATCATCTAAAGCCTACGTTTTTCTCGCAAGTCTAACGCCATCGAGTATCGCAATAGACACGTCCCGTCTTGTCTACAGAAGAGCGGTCTTGACGCCGTGTTGTCAAGGTAGCAAAAAAACATTGATGCAAAATTTTGCAGGGATCATGTGAACCTGTTGAGGGTCCGGCCTAAGCGTAAATCTGGGAACGAACAGCCACCGAATCCCGCAAGTGGGAAGGTGACGTGGGCGGCCCAACAGCCACATCTGGGGAACAGGTTTAGCAGGGTATACGTATATTCACGTACACTGTGGTTCTTGCGTGCTATCGTTGGATTGCTAAACAGGCTACAAGTAGACAAAACTACTCAAAACTTGGGCTTGCTACTGAGAGGGATCGGCGGTGGCTCCATCGAACCCTCGCCCAGTTCCTTCCTCTTTGGTGGTGGTGGAGGTGGTGCTTTCTTCCCAAGGCCTCCCGTCTGCGCTGGGCCGGGCGACGCACTTGACGACGCCAAGCTGTTCATCCTACCCGTAATTCCATACTTTTGATTTAGTGAGTTGGCCGACTTCCACCCAGACGCGACTTGCTCCCCGTGCCGCTGCTGGAAGTTGTTGGCAGTCGATGCCGCTCCTTTCAAGTCTGACGCCGATACTTTCGACGGGTCCTCGTGCAGACTACTGGCAGTTCGCAGTGCTGCCTGCTTGTCTGCCAATGATGTGCCAGTGGTTGGCGGGGGCGCCGGTGACTTTGGCCCAGACATCCTCGCGAACCTGTTCTGTAGCTCGTTCATTTGTGAGCCATGAGCAGCCCCAGCTGGAGCTTGTGTGGCCGTATCTGAGCTTGGGGCTCGCCGAGGAGGAACAGGTGGTGACGGGTTTGCACGAGGCGGTACTGGAGGAGAAGCTGTCCGACCGATACCAAATCCTGATATCGACACACCTGCCTGACCCAAGCGACCCAGAGCGCCCTGGTTTAGCACGCCCTGCTCGGGGGTCCCTTCTTGTGTTGCCTCATTATAAGTTGGTGGAGGAGCCGGCGCAAATTCATTAGGATTCGAGTTTTGACGCGGCGGCAGTGGAGGACGAGGAGGTAGGCTGGGCTTGGGTTTTGTTGAAGCCCCCGTATTCGCTGGCGAAGCAGCGCCTGGTCGGAAAGCAGGAGGCTTGGGTAGATGTGCTGTGCTCAACCCCGTCGTGTCAGGTCTGTATGGCCCGGGAGCCGGCCTATTCGCTTCCTCTTCTGCTCTTCTCCGTGCTTCTTCTTTTTCTTGCAGTCTTTGCTTTGCTGATCCAGCAGGCACAGGCGGCGGCCCTGTCGAAGCAGACGCCGTCGAACCGCTGCTGTAGTCCAGTCTCTTGGGCGGCGGAGCAAATTGTGAGGGATCTTTTAACGACGATAGTGGCATTGACTGGTGTTCGCGGGCCGCCTCTGCATGGGGGTCTTTACCCTGTGCTTTTCCAACCCATCCTTTCTACCCCTAGTTAATGGACACTTCGTATGAGGAGGAACGGGCTTACATACAACTTGGCCCAGTTTCGAGTCGCTTTGTCCACCTCCACTGCTCCCACTATTGGTGCGACTCTTTTCAGGATGCCAGCCTCCTTTGGTGATGCCCTTCAATTTGTCCATGTCCGTGTTAGCGGAAGGGTCTGGGGTTAAGCGGCGTGAATATGCCAGCGGATAGCGGAGCCAACGCGTGCGGCCCGATGAGATCATCAGCCAAGCGCGCCTCTAGCACATGTCACGTCCTGTCGGCACTTCGGGCGGACTAATGCGACAGGCTGACATCTTGGAGAAGAGCTCATATTCAAGGTTGAGTGCAGCATGTTGGACATTGGGTATGCTGAGCTTGAGGTTTGAACTTGGAGGTTTGAACAGTCCAAGTTGATGTTGTAGAAAGACTCAAGGCCGCCAGTCAGCAAGCGCCATGCCGCTTCAACAGAACTCACACCACACCCGGACTTGGAGAATCTCCCGCACTGCAGCTGCAATGCATGTCTTAGTTCCGTGTTTCACCCTTCGCTAGCTGCAGCTGCTGGAGTTTATGTGATAATACCATTCCCGAATGGTATATACTTGCAACTTCCAAGACGAACAACTGCAGCTAGAGCCTGTCACAGTCAGCCGTATTGATCCGGGCCTACTCCCCGTCCAATCACCCCCATAACAAAGGTGTCCGCAAAAGATCTACACATCTAGTAAGTTGGACGTGCCGGGTGTTTTTTACAGAGAGGTTTAATTTGTTGACAGACGTGTCGTCGTCAAGAACGCGAAAGTCATCAGGTCACGATAGCAACATTCCAGGTGATGACGAACAAGAACTGTAAGAGTGTGCTTAGCACGCAGACACAGTTTCCCCATACTAAGCTTTGTTAGATCGACGGCTAGGGCAATTAGCCAAGCCTAAAAATACCCTCGTTCCGAGCAGGTGGGGTTTGTTCGTCTTATAGGCGTCGAGGCTGAGTCCGTCTCTCCAATGCCATCCCAGCATGTAGCCAACCACGCCGATTATTTGCAGTCGGCACTTCGGACTTACATTCTGTTGGCTTGACAGCTTGCAGCACACATGTTGCCAAACAACGGGTAACATGTCTCCGCCACCTCAGCCCACAGCCAGCTCAAAGGATTGCCCTCACACTCCGTGACCCTTTGCATTCTCCGCATCGTCTTTGAAGTCAACTGCATGCCACTTCATCCCTTCCTAGGAATCTACCCAGCAGAAGTAACATTTGTTGTCCAAGGATACATAGTGTGCTTTCTCGCGTCATCGATTGGAGTACCAAGGTCACGCCTAAACCGCATCTCGGCCCCGCATCTCCTGCTACTGGCTAAGAAAGTGGAGGATCACCACCACATTTCAGCTCTCGCATCGGCCATATCTAGGTGTCAGGCGTCTCCGTCAGATTACTGTCTCCTTACTGGTTTCGAGCCTACCACACCACTGCGGCCTGTCCATACGTAGCTAGGAGCTGCTCTCGTCAGCGCACTGTCCAAGCCGCAATGGCTCCTCGGGAAGACGAGTGGGAAAAGGATGAAGATGAGAGTGAGCCGCCTTGGCTCACTGAAACTGAGGAGGATGATGATTATTCTACAACTGTTCCTCCGGAAATCCTGTTGAGTATCGTGTCACAATCAGTACCGTACGCTGTGATGGGGTCGATTACACCAACGAACAATGCGTTTGGACCTGGATTCACCGGCAACGCCCTCCCCACAGCCAGACCTGCTCTACCCAGTATACGGCCTGACGGATACCCGTCGGATCGTCCATGGCCGCCGTACAATATTCCTGATTCCTCGACTCAAAGCTCAGAGATGTCAACTTCAGCAACAACACCATATGCCGATCAGTGGGGTAGTTCGTCACCATGGACGACATCTACCTCGCAATCGACGCTCGAAGCAGATGTGTCGCTATCACCAATTAGGCCAAACGGAGGACGGCCATCAGACTGGAACTTTTCAAGAAAACACGCCAACAACACGCCATTGTACGCCGCTGCCGCAATAGTTCCCATCGTCGTTCTTGCAATCATAGGCGGGGTAACCCTAGTCTGTCTGCGCAAGCGCAAGAGACGGAAGGCAGAAGCAATGGCAACGGAGAACGTCGCTGAAGAAATGAAGATGCAACCACCAAAGCCAAACACACAACAACAAGAACAACCGAGCGTACAAGCTTACATGGCACCACCACCAGGTTCACCACCACTGCCAACAGTTTCCGTATCGCATCCCCCACCAAACCACCTGTTACCGCCGACATCAACCTCCAGCGCATTCCAACCCATAATCCTTGGGCCCATCGGCTCAGACTCGTCGAACGGCGCTTACCTCACTGGCATGGATACATCGGATATGGTGTCCGTCTCCTCGAATACACTTGGGCCAGTGGACAATCCTTTTTCGGACAACAATAGTCTTCGTGAGCCGCCACCGCCATATCGACCATATAGTGCTGCGCCGCCTAGCTTTACGACGAATTCGAGGCATAGTAGTCTGAGAGTAGCAGATTCGCAAACAAGGCTTATTGATCGTGATCCTTTTGGGGATCCGGACAACGATTCAGTTTCGGAACTGTCGGGATCGACGCTGGGGAGAGATAGGGATGGAGATGGGATGAGCTTCATGTCAGATCTTTCTTATCAGCGGTTCACGTAGTTGTTAAAGTGGATCATTTCTTTCCTTTTTTCTTGATGTATATACTGTTTGCGAAACGTATCTCTTTTATCCCTTCTTCGCTCTTTCCTATTTTCTTGATGTTTGTCACGATACCGCATCAGGGCTTCATGTTAGCAGTATAGTGATCACGGACATACACGTGCAAGTTTCCAAAAGCCCGAGAACACAATGCAATATTTATACCAGCACAAGAGGATTGAGATGCGAAACACCCCTACACCACCATCTTTGTTTATGACGTAACCCCCACGTAGTCCAGAGTCGCTCATCTCGGCTACGCTGGGGGCCTAGAGCACATGAGGTCTCGCGGGCAGTTCCTGAGACCGCCAAACTGCTCAACAATCCCACCCACAATCCCATCCAATAAACTAACACACTTGATCACCGGCACGTAGTGCAACGCCACCTCCACATCGTTCATGGCGCTGCGCTTGCTTTACGCAGCAGGTGGCAAGGCAGTTTCTTGGAGCGTTTCCCATTAGTCTGGGTAGTGAGGATACTGTGTTTACCAATTACCGCCTGAGGATCAAGGCAGATGGAGAGCTAAATGAAGTGCATGGCGAACGGTACCTTGCATGAATGGGGCAGCGACTGTGCGCTAGGGGTGAACGGTTATCGAGATGTCAGCTCACATGTCAAGCCCGGGGGAGTTGAGATGCCATGGATGGGATTCCCTTACCCCGCCCCAGCTTTTAGCTGGAGAAAAGACATATCCCATGTTCAGTTCTATGCCAATGTTTGTATCCATGAATTAAGCAAAGAATGGAAAATGACGGTCATGCATGTGCTCTCTCCCACTGCAAGCAGCCTAGTGGCCGGACTGACAGAGGGGGGTTTACTATCTTAAATCCGGAAAGTGCTGCTATCTATGGGCTTTTTTTTCTCCGCAGGTTAAATCAAGCCAGTCTAGCCATGTTCCGGGCTATGATTCGCCGGGAGCGGGCTACTTTATTCCAGGTTCATGGGATTTGCATGATGACGGCTAGATTAAATATTCGGCATCGGTTGCCAGCTGGCACAAGCGAGCGGTTTTTCCTTTGTTGCTTATTTGGCGGAGGTTGATGCCCGATTCGTGAAAAGGATTGGGGAGTGCATGTTGAGATGCTTGGGACATGGTAGTTAAATGTACGCTTGTTCAGGAGGTTGCGAAAGACAGTCGTGTGGTTGGATGAGCGCTGGGCCATTGACTGGGTCGACGGGTCAAGAAAGTCGGTTTAGCGTCGGCATCTAGGCAAGACCTCAGCGTGGACCTGTCATTTCTACCCATCTCATCCTTACGGCACGCAGCACCCCAAGCCATGGTGCAGTTCGTTCCGTGTCCGTTCGCGACTTAGCTCATCGTTATGTACTCCTGGCGGAGCCTATCACCTTATTCGCTACTAGTTGCATCGGTTGGGTGAAGCTTCGCCTGGCTGGCTGTGCTGGCTGGCAGCGGCGTCGACAAAGAGCCTCTTCCATGCTTCCTCCCTGCCCTTACCACCCAATTATGACAGCCTCGCTATATCGTCCTTCACGGCCCATGTGGGCTCGGTACCTGAGCTAGACGCTCCCTCGGGCTCAGGAGAGACTGGCCAAGCAACGTTCCTCGTGCCGTTGCTGCGTGTTGCTCGTGCTGCGGGTCACGATCGGTACTATCAATTATTCATCTTTGCCGAACTACAACCTTTGCAACTGCAGCTTCAGTTTCCCCGGCCCCACTGCGCTGCCTAGTACGTGAAGAAACCTTTCACCGTCCTCGCTCACTGCAAAGCGTCACAGCTCAAGCAAAGCGAAGCCTGCAGGAGCCTCTTCACGACTACGCTGTGCTGACGCCCCTCCTCGCTCGGTACCTGCATCTTCGACGTCTTACCACGCTGGCATAGCCTCTGCTACTACTGCTACTACTACTGAATTGTGCTACTCGACAGGTATCGCAGCTTCGTCATATTCACCGTCTTCTAGTAGCGTTTGCGAGAATCTGCTACCCGTCAACAAAGAAGTCTAAACAAGTCCCAGCCAGGGCGCCTTTGTCTCACGACCCAACCCCCACCGAACGCCTCCCTCGAACCGTCGTCGACGTCTTATATTGCTCGCTACATGGTCTGTAGGGCAGACAATTGTGTCAGGACATTGTGTCATTGGGCTTGCTATGAGTTTGGATCAGCACATATATGGGTACGACTTTCTTCCACACGTTCCCATGTCTGTTTGGACGTCGTGTAGTGTATCGACTGGTACGACAAGCTTCATGATGAACACTTCCGGTTTGTCATTGGCTTCTCTGCCTCGCCATGTCGGACCTGACATGACCATGTCCCAATCGAGGTCTAGGGTAGGCAGAGGGCAGGCAACACCGCACGGTTGTCATCTGAAGCTCGTTGCATTATCCCTTGCCATCCTTGCCATCCTTAGCATCCTGTGCCAAAGATACTTCTCTTTAAACTCCCTTCCAATCCGTTCATAGATTGCACTTTTGGTTTTCCTCATGTCTCGGCTCGCAGCTGCAAGTGCCCCAGGCTAACGTGGGTCGCGTGCTAGATCGACCGACTGGCATCTACCAAGTCCATCCTCCACACCCAAATCGGTGACGTTCCCTGACGGAAGTCTCAAAACACCCAAGACCGAGACGTTTCCCCATTCGCACTTCCTCGACGCCTGGGCGACTCCACTACCTAATGGGCAGCACACTCCTGTGCAAACACCCTCCTTTACACTGTCGACGCCCATAGGTCGGCCGTCGAGCTCGTATAGCCAACCCGTCCGCACCCCCGAAGATCCAGAGTTCCATGTCAACTACTTCGCTCCTCAAAACCTGCCTCTTCCGCCGGTCGACGTTTCCCGAAGGCTGTCGTCTTCGCCCGACCCTAATCAGCTGAGGAAGGTTGGTTCACAAGGACAGTTCGGGTCACGCCCTGTCAGTATGGACTTTTCGCACATGCAAACGCCACCTCCAACGAGGGACGCTTCGTCAAGGAGGAGTGCGCAACAAAGTGGCGGAAATGAGGTAGCCACACCAGCTACCGTGGTGCATAGGACGCCTAATCAATTGCCCGCATCATCAGGAGCTCTCTTCGACCAAACTCCGTTTGGTTTCGCCGATCTACAATACACTCCACACATGATGCAGTTTCCCAACCACGGACCAATGTCTGCGCCGCCTATGCCTCAATCAAAGCTGTTCTGGGATCCGGCTAACGATGGCATGCAAATGGATCTAGATGTACCACTAGGTGTAGATCCCTTTGGTCCTACTCCGCATAGGCCACAACACGACATGAACTGGCAAGCGATGAACCATCCTTCAGCTAATATGATGCAAACTCCGGCGTTCCAAAGCTTCCAAGCGTCTCCCATGCCAGCGTCATTCGCAAACACCCCTTCGCAGAGGCAGGGTTCAAGACCTGGCTCGTTTGTGTACACATCTGCCGGTGTTGATCCCAACATGTTGCTCAGCTTCTCTAATCCAGATATGACCTCCTCTTTTGGAAGTATACCACAGCAACCGTTTATGGACATGTCAAGACAGCCGTATGAGACACAGTTGCGGGACGCACAGAACGAGAGGGAAATGGCGAAGAAGGCGAGGAGCCAGCATTCGCGCAGTAACACAGCCTCGTCGTCCGGTTCAGCAGAGAACACAAAACCTGTACTGCAACGAAGCAATACAGACGGTGGGATGAGGACAACCAGAACAACTGCAATGGACCCTCGGATATCCATTCCAGCTAATGCGTCAACGATTCCCCGCCGTTCATCTCCACTCAAACGTCAAAGCGGCGGATCGCTCAAATCGATACCAGAGATCAGAAGGCCACGGACACGACTCATCATCGATGAGACTGGTCGAGCTCGGACGGAGACTGTGCATGCTGGGGATGAGGAGGAGACCCCTAGGAATAAACGACAGACGTCGCAGCAAAATCTCAGACGCCAATACCCCGGGTTGTACGAGGAGGATGATAGCGAGTCTGAAGACGACGAGCCGGCTCCAATTATCAGTCGTAACTCATCATTCGCAATACCACAACCTGAGCGCCGAGCTTCGAAACATGCTCGAGCAGACAGCGGCGGATTTGAAAAACCTGCTCCTTTCAAAATGGCACGGTCTGCCTCTGCCTCAAGACTTGCACCTGACGCTCTCTCCAAGACCTCATTTGAAACGCTACGACCCACGCGAAGATCCGCCGCCGACAACGCCACTCGTCGATTCAGCGCAATGGACCGCCCCAACCCAAGAGAAACTGAGGACCAGCACATGCCCGACTCCCCGGGCGACGCCCTCGGCGCCTTGAAAAAGGTCGTAGGTGCCCGCCAACAACGCATTGGTAGGATAGCCACGCGCTGATTCTACCCTCTTGTTGCTGACAAGTTCAGAGCGTGCGTCTCAAAACACACTTCTCGCTCACAACCAACGCTGGGCTCAGGCCTCAGCTGACATATCCAATCTATCTACCTCCAATCTATCTCACAATCACAACTACGACCCTTACACCAACTCCTTCAACCACTCCCCATCTACTACCACCACGCCATCAACGGAATGCAGTACCCGGTCAAACGATAGCACACGCTGTGTTTGTGAGGGTATGGTTGAGGATGAGGGGAGGCCGATGGTGCAGTGTGAGGCTTGTAACAAGTGGTTGCACCTAGGTTGTGTGGGGTTGAGAGAAGAGTGGCTGCCGAAGGTTTTTGTTTGTGTGTTTTGTACAGGGACGGATGGGGTGGGCAGGGTGATGAGGGGTAGAGGTATAGGAGGCGGAGGTGGGGAGTTGAAGGGGATGATGGGTGATTCTCCGTTAGGGAATAAGGGAAGGTTTAGACGGTGATGGTTCGCAAAGATAAGGTAGTAGGGGGGTAGGAGGTGGTGATGGGCACGTAATGCATCGACAAGGAGTTGAATCAAAGGGCTTGCTGTGCAAGCTTCTCGAGGGGTTTGGATCATGAGCTTAATGACATGTATGATGTTGGGAGCACACACTTTTCTGGGGTCTGACATGACGGGAGTTTGTCGAATCGTAATGCCGTACTTGTTTGATACCTGCTGTGTTCTTCGTCAATAGCGCAAGGCAAAGACAATACCTGTATATTCTCGTCAAAGCTATAGGAAACGAGGGCTCGAGGACTACGATAATTTTGCATCTTAGGGAACAATCACTGATCCACCAACATGGGGACCACCGGGAATGAATATCCTGTACAATGTTGTGGTAAAGACCTCTCATGCGTTTGAGATCCTTCTTCTCGAAGTCGTCTTTCCAATGGCCAACGACATTCATACCAGTGCTCTGGTGGTACTGGGTCGGGATAGCTTGCTGGGACTGTTAGGCGTTCACGTCGGCTGATTAAGAGAGTGATTCTACGGTGAGTGTGTAACGAGGAGACTTCAACCGGACTATGAGACGCCGAGTCTTACAGTCATACTACCTGTACCATCTACGACAGCAGAAGACATCATTCCAAGATTTTGAAGATTTCAGGATCAGAAAGTGACAATGAGCCGATCCCTATCCAAGAAAGACACAGCGATCAAGACACCGAAGCCTGTTTGACGACCTGGCTATCGGACTACGAGATTGGGATTTTGGGTCGACGCTCTGGGGACGTGTTGTGAGGTGGTGCCTGGCGACCTTGACAATACGACTTCAGCGCCAGGCAGAGCAATTCGGCTCATATATTTGTCAACATAGAGCTAAGTCGTCTGCGCAGCCTCCTGCGTCAACTCGATTACATGTGTATTTGTATCATGCAGTCTCCACGTCTATTTGCTTTACATCTCCGAACAACCACACAGCTCTCACCAACTTTTTTTCATCGTCCCCATAAAATGTTGAGTACCTGGAAGCTTGAGCTCGACAAACTCCTGGCGGTTGAATATATGTTGTATAGGCCAACTCAACTGATGCCACTTGAAGAACTCGCATCGAATACAATCGTACTCACCACGTTCGATAACATCCGTCAAGAATTTGCGCGTTACAAACATATCGCACCAGCACAAGACCATAAGGCCGCGGGGACATACAATGGAATATCACCCGTTCAGGACAGCTATCCCACAATGTTGCTCAAATATGCTGTGATCATACCTAGGTAGTGAATGAGATTGGAAAGGCGAGCCGGTCCCGTTCTCAGACCTCGGAAGCGATGTGCACTGTGAGGGCGCGTAGACAGCTGGGTCTTACTGGAACACCACTGGAAAATGATTACGACGAGATTCGGACCTTGATCAAATGGCTAAGCATCAAGCCATGGGGTGACGCCAAAGTGTTCAACGAATACTTTGTCCCCAAGAGGTCCAAGAAGACCAAGGCTATGTTGAATCTACATTACATGGATGTTGATGCGTGCCTAAGAGAAAGGATGAACACATTGACTGAAGCCGACATTGGGAGTTTCGCTAGAATCTCACAGAATCGTGCGTCCAGTCCAGGGCTATAATGGCGTACATCAGAGAAATCTGATACTTGCTCATTTCTCCTAGAGGCGACAGTGTCGTTAATCAAGAGGATACTTTCTGTACGGTATGCTCATGCTCTAGACAGCTGTTGCAGACATTCGTACTCGAGCTTATATCCGCCGTCCTCGAGGACGCCGCAAAGCTTCTCATCGACGCAAGGGTTCCTATGCTGCCAACGATAGCGAGGACAAAACAGTCCGACATTATTGTCACACACACACACACACACACACACACACACACACACACGCCCACTCAGCTTTCTTTCGTGCAGACACCACAGGACACGCTGTTAGCTTCCGTACTCATACTACAAACCACACCTCAGACATCATTCTTTAGTCCGAACATGCTCGTTTTCGAGCACTCTTATCCATCACCCTGGGGAGGCAACCCAACGAACCCCCCGGACGGCGACCTCGTTACATGGTCTTATATGGTATAGCCCATACTATTGATCCGTTGCCTAACCACTGTGATTCCATTCCTTACACTCAAGCGGGTAGCTTAGCTGTTCCCTGCCCTGACCACAGCTGTCATATAGCCGCCGCCGAATGGTCCCGCCGCCTCAGCCACCTCACGGGTCCGCTTGCACATTGTCTGGTTCGGAGAGCCTTGTACCCATAGGTTAAACTAATCTCCCGGAGCGTTGGGGGTGCCAGTAGGCCAGAAGTATCGATCTGCTCTCTTAAACTCTGCGTATGCTGTTGTGCGGCCTTTACGAATGCGGATCGAGCCGCGAATCAATAGCGAAGTTGATGCACTCGCAGAAGCGGCCGTCACCTGTCCAAGAACCAGAATATTCTGGACCACGACATCCGCGAGCCAGAGAAACCTGTCGCAGTACATCCTGCGGAGGACTGCATCGTTCCAGTTTGCCTTGTAATGGAATCAGTAGATGCTGGAAGTGCAGAGCGCCCTAGAACTCCCAGAGGAACGACACAAAGACATCATCATCCCACCTAAGATTCCAGAAGTCTACTTGCTCAGTCGAACTAAGCTGTGCGTAGTACCGAGCTTCTTGACCGGCATTTGCAATGTTGGCAATGGCGTTGGGGTTAGTCGGCACAAGGCCGATTTGGTGATCTTGGAGGAAGGACACTTGGTCGCGGAGATGTTGGAGTCCCGTCTTTGTGACTCATTCTTTGAGTGATGCAGCCTCCAGCTCGTCTTCTGCTTGCTATAACAGTGCTTTTACCCCCGGGCGAATATGTGTTGTGTGGATGCGTAGGGCCTTCTTGTATTGCCGACGTATCCACAGGCGGCGGCTCTGATGCTGGGCGGGCTCATCAGCCGGGACGAACTTCAGCACCTTAACTGTACGACCCAAGTTATTGATGAGAACTTGCTAGTCGTACCAGCAGGTTTCTGCCTCGATGTACTTTTGTGCCAGACAAGAGATGCCGAATCAGTTGGTTTGGATGGTCTCGACCATCTTCTTAATGACCTTTACTGCGCAGACCATGTTGGATCCGCGCTGGACGCCAATGATGGTAGGGGAGTGTTATGTGTCGACCTGGGAAGCATGCTAGCATATTCATACTGTCTCGTAAGTGATATGACGATGATGTCTGGATGGTGCATAAGGATCTCAGCAAGATCAGGGGAGGAGGCGGCCATTATATAGCTTTCTTACAGGCGGATGTGTTGCAGGATCCGGCAATCATTGTAGCTCGTATGCGACTCTTGAGCACTTCGATTTGTTGCGGTTTTCTCAATCATATTTGTATTCTTCCCAGTCATCTATGGCTGCCATTGTTGTTCGATTGCTCCTATGACTTCTCTTCAGCCATTGCCTCGGCTTCGCTGTCTTTAGCCTGCAAGTTCGGTGTATTCTCCACAATGCTCCATCATATGCCCATTCCTGCGAGACGTATACTTCTAAGCCTTCCACGAGAACTTTACGAGATCACAAGGTTCGTACAGTCGTCCAACGAGGATATTGCGCATAGTTGCTGGCTGTTCTGAGGCGCCGAGGCCGCGAATGCTAAAGGCAGCACCGGATGTAGTCCTAAATCTTGAGTATAAGGCGCCGGGGTAAGCGATAAAGCATCCAAGGGTAGATACTGTGGGTTTGTTGGAAACCAGAAGAAGAAAGTGTATCCCTTGCAGTTACCGATCCATAAGCCGTTCAGTAACCCCGGATTTGTGGCGCCAGCTATGACACTTCGGTTGATCTTCACCCCGCATGTCCATTTATCCCCCAACACGAACCGCTGCTAAACCACACCCAGCCCGTGTCATGTGCACACCGTTGCATCAGCATGTTACTACGACTAACTGATATCCCGATTGGCCAATCGCATGCCATGTCTCGTCGCCGTGAGATGCTGATCTTTGCGGCGGGCCGGTATTCCTGTACGGTTGTCGGCAACTGCCCCTCGGCTATGTGGTATGGGTGTGCTTTGGTGTGTCTTGAGGTTGGACGACGTACATGGCGTGAGCTACCCCAGTAAATGCTTGGGAGCACAGGCAAGCTTCGTATAAGTGGAAGCTTGGGGCCCCGCGTTATTGCTTGGTGTCTCTTATCGTTGCGCTTCGCCTTCACCAAGCTTGCGCTTAACGCCATCGCGCCTTCTACACCAAATCAAGAAACGCACCAGCTCACTCAACGAGCGCTGATTTCGCGATCATGGCAACACTGACTGACGACCAAAAACCTTCGATTGAGCACGTCTCCAATGACAAGATTGCGCCTACGACACTTGAAGCTGGGGATGGGCCCGTGGATGGGCATCGCAAGCTTGTTGCGCCGCCGCTGGTGGCTGCTATGAGCGCCGAGGAAAGAATCGAAGCGGAAAAAAAGATGAGGAGGAAGATCGACACGAGGCTGTTACCGATGATTATCCTGATGTATATCATGAGTATGTCTGAACAGTTGTGGCGGGAGAATATGCGAAGACAATACTGACAAGAGTCAGATTATCTTGACAGAAATAACATCGCTGCCGTTCGACTAGCAGGTCTTCAAGACGAGTTGGAACTCTCGAGTGTACAATACCAAGTATGTATTCGCCAGAACCACCTCAAGAAGGCGTCTCACTAACTTGCGCAGACCACTGTTTCCATCCTCTTCGTCGGCTACATACTCATGCAAATCCCATCAAACCTGTTTCTCAATAAAACTGGTAAACCGGCCCTTTACCTACCTACATGTATGATCATCTGGGGTATCATATCAGGCGCTACCGGCGCATGCCAAAACTTTGCTGGACTTGTGGTCTGTCGCTTCATGCTGGGTTTCATCGAAGCTGCATACTTCCCGGGGTGTCTGTTTTACCTCAGCGCTTGGTATACAAGGAAAGAGTTGGGTCTGAGAACGGCGGTCCTATACTCTGGAAGTTTGATCTCGGGAGCGTTCGGTGGTCTCATCACTGCGGGTATTACCAGTAACATGGACGGTACGCATGGCTTGAGAGCGTGGCGCTGGGTGTTCATCATTGAGGTATGTATCGTACGCGACACGAGTGTATACGACAGGTGCTAACTGTTTAGGGTGGCATTACCGTTGCGATTGCCGCAGGAGCCTTTTGGATCCTACCAAACTTCCCTCGAACAACTTCCTGGCTTACGGAGGAAGAGCGCCAACTCGCCGTATACAGACTCCAGGAAGACGTTGGCGAAGATGATTGGGTTTCCGCGGAGTCACAGACCTTCTTTCACGGCCTAAAGCTCGCTTTGCTCGATATCAAGACTTGGGTGCTCACAATTCTTCTTCTAGCGATCGTGTCTTCAGCGAGCGTTACCAACTTCTTCCCCACGGTGGTCAAAACGCTAGGATATCCGAATATCGAGACACTTTTGTTGACAGCGCCACCTTACGTCCTGGCAGTTATTACCACCTATCTCAACGCCTGGCATGCCGATCGCACAGGCGAACGATTCTTCCACATTGTCCTCCCGCTCTGCGTTGGTGTGGCAGCTTTCATCCTGGCTGCTGCTACAACAGCTACCGCACCCCGCTACGTCGCCATGATGTTGATGGTCCCTGGTGTCTACACTGGCTACGTCGTCGCTTTGGCCTGGATCTCCAACTCTTTACCCCGTCCACCAGCGAAGAGAGCGGCTGCACTGGCTTTCATCAACGCGATCAGTAATACCAGTTCGATTTACGCAAGTTACATGTATCCGCAGCCGAAGAGCGGGCCGGCGGACTTGACGATACCGCTGAGTGTGGATTGCGCAACTGCAGCACTGGCCATCATCATGACGGTCATCATGCGCATTATACTGGGAAGGTTGAACAAGAAACTTGCACGGGGAGAGCACGTGGAGGGGGCGATCAACGCCGTACCTGGAGTTGGTGCCGAGCGAGGTTTCAGATTTCTAGTCTAGAGACTTGGAAGTTGGAGGTTGTAGGGTAAATAGTTGAAAAGAGAGGCGATTAGCAGCATCGCGCAGTTCATTGGTGCCCCTGTTTTACTTCTTTGCCACCCCCTTCTTCGGTCATCTCGCTGTGTGATGGAACGTACAAGTGCTGAGACGACAAGTCGTATCTTCGGATTGCTTTTCTTGCGTATCTCGATCAGAATTCGTGTTACTTTTGTGAAGGTTGATAAGTGGCTGGGGTGCTGAGTTGGCGAGACTACTGGAAGGTTCCATAGCGTCATCGGCCCGTATAAGGCTTAGCGTCCATCGCGAACTTGGGCCAGCGCGTCGCGACTCATCAACTTTTATCCGCATGCGCATCCACCCCCGGCAGCACATCATCTGTCCAGGATTCAGTTGCACATTGTACGACCCATTACTATCGGCGTACTTCACTGAAATTGTGGAATATACCTTCACCGTTGACTAACCATAGACGGAGCACCTCGTTATAGCTAGCGTAACACCACTGTAGCGTCCTGTGCACGTACGATGCACCTTCACAGGACTATACCAACAACGCCGATTATTCAACTCGGTCCCTGATCATTATCGCGTTGCATCTTGCACACCACCGATCATTCCTATCATCTGGAACCCCCGACAGTATCAGTCACCGCCATCATTCAAGGCAACCACGCGTAGTCAGCTGACGCCACCCGCATATCGCCTGCAACCTCCACGGCGAACTCGATCCACAACCCCATCATGGATTTCTCAAACCCTGCGTTTCGGACTACGCCAACGTCTAAGGTCTCAGACGACACCATGTCCCATGCAAACCTCGTGATGGCGTGTAGATGGGGCTGGACCAGCACTCCCGAAGAAGGTACAAACGCACCTTTCGCCTCTTCATCGATATCACAACAAACACCCGTCTCCACGTTCAACAACATCCGAACCAGGCGTTTCGCGCCGTGTCAAGGACGTCTCTACCATCAACTTCTCTGCTCTCATCGTATCCGGACGGACCTAGTCGAGGACTGTGGCGCAAACTGCATCGAACCGTATGGTAGTACAGTGGATGCCGCTTTTATTTGCAACGAATGCATCCAAGCCGAAGCAACAAAGATCTGGGAAGAGCGACAAGCGCAACACAATGCGGCTTACCCACCTATGGAGCAGATGAGTAAGGAGCAGTACGAGCAGTGGTACACTGAGCACCGACAACTTGAAGCAGAATTCTTGCGCGACCAGCGAGTGTACGAATTGGAGCTGAAATCCAAGACTCGACCGAGCAACATCTGCTCTGTACTAGAAGCTAGCAAAGAAGAGATGGAGTTCGCAACTGAACTTGACTCTCTATCACTCTCACTAATGGCGTCGAATAATTCGAATGTCGAGCAGGCGCCATACCAGCCCCAAGGACGTACGCGCACGAGCTTGGCGACAGATCCTGAGGAACAGCTTCATTGGGATCTAAACACGCTTGCTTTGGATCGAGGCGCTTGTGGTATAGAGTACTCGGGCTCACAATCGAGCAACGGCGTGTCTTCAGTACGGCAACTGGACCCTGAAGAGTTATGGAGGAAGCCACGGAACTAATATCCTCAACGCTTGTTCGTTAAGTATTACTTTGGCACATGCATTATATCTTGTTTATTAGCGATTGCATAAATATGGCGTACGGTAGCTTCGCACTTGTGAAAGCGTTCGTGGAAGACTTTCATGTAAGAAATATCCATATATATGACCTTATCTATACTACCTTTTTAGACCGCTGAGGAACAGATCCAAATGCGACTTAGTTCTACTACTGAACATCTCGCTTGGATGGTATGTAGCAGTCATATCTCCAAACCCAACTTGCGAAAAGCCCACTTATTGTGCACTTGGGGGACAATAGCATGAAGATTTTGGTCCCATGTGGGGCATGCTGATGTGTCAAGGTCGAAAAGGACTGTAGGCATTGGCGCGCCATACTTCGATAGTTAAGCGAGCTTGGCCCACGTACCATGAGCACATTGTGTTCTGCAGGCTTCTTGCTGCGTGACACTGTTCAGAACTTTCGTCTTCGGGACGCAAGACAATGGATAAACCACACAATTATATAAGATGTAAAAAAAATATTTCTTCATCAAAACTCCTACGGGAGCCTTGGCGCAATGGTAGCGCGTTGGTTTTCGGCTTGTGCCTGTTCACCAAAGGTTGAGGGTTCGAGCCCCTTGGGCTTCGGCTTATGTCCTTTGACAAGTCTTCTTTCATTTTTGCTTTTGTTTCTCCATCATACATACATCGCGTGTGGGGTTGGCGGGGTCTGCAACGATCATGTTATGCAACTTCCTTTTTGGTAGCCTCTCGTCGTTTGTACCTCTATTTACGATATGACAACAGTTATGCACGACATGATGTTCTGCTGCTGCGCTTGCTCTACGTGAAGGCTTTGGTAGGTGACGTAGCCCTGCTCCCTTGTTACGGTCGCGGCCTCTCCACCCACTTCATCTCTAAAGGCACGTAACCAAACTACGACTTACACTACGCCATAGGCATACCCATACTAGGATGCTGTTGCACTATAGTATAGGATATCGTCGTCTTTGCGGTACCCTCTGCTTCCTTCAGCTATCTTTGCAGGCGAGGGCCTTGAACAGCACAAGAGCGAGGAGGTATTTATTATTTTACATGGCATCAGGCACACACCCGTTATAGCAGCGTATATATTGCCGGCGCACCATCACTACCTCAATATCCTGAAGCAAGCTATCCTCGCTCAGCGCGACCAGAGCGATGGTGGCTTATACGACTTCGGAAAGCATCTCAAGCAGATGGAGGAGCACAACTTCCAGGATGACGTCAGGGACACTAAGGATTAAGACTTCATTGAGCCTTCGCGTTATTCACGCTGCGCTTCTGGACATGTGCATGGGACTGGCTCCATGCCCTTGCAGAACATGCTAAGATGAGGACTTGTCAAAAGACATAGACGTAAGCCCAAGGGTGTTTGACATATGTCAGCGTGACCACCTCGCATCAGCAAAACTGGCGGCCTACTGTACAACTACTGTACAACTACTGTATGCTTCGCGCTCTGTCAAAACCTGAACAGCAGCTGCACAAGAGGCAACACGAGCCGGATCAGGACCACGAGTTTTCGACGATGTTCTACTGCATGCAATGGTAACATGTTTTCCCTGGAGAGTACGAGAACGAATTCTGGGCCACCTCCTCAGATAGCGTGCCAGTGGGAAGATCGAACTCAATTAAGCCTCGAGATCACCCGATCAATACCCTGACAATCGGTCGCCCGCTCGAGGGAGAGTAAAGGGGAGAGAGGCGGGAAAGGCGAAAAAAAAACGTACGAAGAATTGACCGCGGAAGCACGAAGGATGCCTGAAGCCGAGGCAGACATTGAGCTTCGCTAGTCAAAACATTGGCTCATTCAAGAAGCGGTGAATGAATCAACTGCTTCATCAGCTGACCTCATGATAGGTTTCGGGTGGCTCCCACTTGTTGGTTCCTCCGCAGCCTTTTGCATCGCCGCCGTTTCCATGGTTGCTGAGGACGTTTTGATCACCAGCTCGCGAGGCTAACCGAGTTCTCCACCAGAATGCCAGCCAGTTATTTTCCTTTGCCATTACGTGTCTTGCTTGATTTCGCCGTTGGGATTGTTTTTGGCGTGAATTGACGCGTGGCGGTTAGAAAATCTGATAAGGGTGGTGGTTGAGCGCGACAAGAGTGCGAGGAGAATACAAAAGGCTTCGCTGGTCGAAGACCGCCATTATCGGCATCGTTGTATGCATCATACGTGATTGGAAGATGAGCCAGGCAGAGTACCCGTTTTCAAGATACATAACAGAACAATGTGGAAATTATGTCATCAATCACTATTAATAGCTTAGGCGTTGTGGCGGAGTACGTTCTCTCATCTATCATCTGCACTAACGTGCCCCACTATCGAGATGCGCACACCATCGAAATGCGCACTCTGCCAAGCCCCCACCACTTTCAACTCTCTATTACAATGTCTCAACTACCAAATCTTGAACTGCTTTCTACTGAAGACAGAGTCATCCAGGCTATCCAAGCTATGAAATCTAACGCGTCGCTTACCCAGCGACAAGCCGCGCATCGCTACGATATACATGAAAGCACTCTCCGCAATCGACGCGCTGGGAAGGCTTCACGACGCGATACTCAACCCAACCGATCAAAACTCCAGAGACATGAAGAGGAGGCGATTATACAATATATAAGGAAGCTTGACGCGCGAGGTTTCGCCCCTACGCTTAACTATGTGCGAGAAATGGCCAACCAACTACTAGCTACACGTAGTGGTGGCCAGGTTGGAGAAAACTGGACCTACAGGCTTGTACGCCGGAGACCTGAGATCAAATCTCAGGTAACAAGACAGCGGGATCATCAGAGAGTCCTCTGCAGCGACCCAGCTATTATTGGGCCCTGGTTCAATCTTGTACACAACGTCAAGGCCAAGTATGGGATTCTAGATGAAGACGTCTATAATTTTGATAAGACTGGCTTCCAGATAGGCGTTAGAGGGTCTGTTAAGGTAGTAACAGCCTCTGAGAGACGTCTCAAGCCACTTGGTGTTCAGCCTGGCGATCGTGAGTGGGCAACGCTGATTGCTGGCATCAACGCGATGGGGTGGTCCATCCCACCCTTTTTCATCTTCAAGGCAAAGAACCATAACCAGGCCTGGTATCACAACCCTAAAGATTGGAGGATAGGAGTTAGTGAGAATGGCTGGACAATAAACGAGCTTGGTCTTGCATGGCTGCAGCACTTTATCCAGCATACAGAGGCTCGCACAGTGGGTAGTCACCGGCTGCTTATTATTGATGGCTATGAGAGCCACAAGTCGCTCGCCTTCCAGGATCTGTGTGAGGAAAGCAATATTATCACCCTCTGCATGCCTCCACACTCATCGCACATCCTACAGCCACTTGATGTGGGTTGTTTTGCCCGCTGAAGCAGGCGTACAAGAAGGAAGTCAGGGGCTTGGCAGACAGCCACATCTACCACATCGACAAGAAAGCCTTCCTAGCTGCCTTCAGGCCAATATTTGACAAGGCGTTCTCAAAGAACAATATCTTATCAAGCTTTCAAGCAACTGGCTTAGTCCCACATAACCCAGATGTGGTGTTATCTAGGCTTAAAGTACAGCCTCGTACGCCAACACCACCTGCATTAGGGCCTACCCCTTAGGAACCTAAAACACCAAGCAACGCCTGGGAGATAGAGGCTCAAACAACGCTGATTGTCAAGAGGATAACAGATCACAAGGAATCATCACCTGATTCTATCATTGAGATAGTGTTGCAGGTCAAAAAGGGATCAACTTTGAAGGTGCACTCACACACGTTGCTAGAGGCTAGAATAGCCAACCTTGAGGAGGCAAACCAGGCAGCATCTAAACGTATAAAGCGCAAGAAAAAGCGAATCCGGAAGGGAGGAACCCTATCGCAGGCAGAGGCAGAGGATATAGTTGAGCAAAGGGATGTTGAGATCCAGTTAGAGGTGGAGAGGCGTCAGGAGAGGGTGCGCGCAGGTGGTAGTGCAGGAGGTATCCGACGCTGCAAGAACTGCGGCGAGGCAGGACATAATAAGCGCACATGCAAGAAATATGCAGCAGAAGTAGAGGATTAATTCGAGCTATTAAATGCGTAGATAGCTTGTTGTGGTGTTGAGTTATTCGCATGCGAACATAGATTGCTGTATTTCGTGCGCATTTCGATGGTGTGCGCATCTCGATAGTGGGGCACGTTAAAGCATTACTAATTTCTACTAGGTGGTTATCGCGCAAGACTAGAAATCTTGTTCCTTCGGGAGCGTCAGTTCGAATCTGGCCAACGTCGTGTTTTTGCCGGTTAGATCGTCGTTGGTCTACCCTCGTGAGAACAAATTACTTAAATCACAAGCTACTTTGTATTCGTCTGGGTGACATGAAAGCGTAAGGACACTGTAGTCGTTAGTTGGTACATATAATACAACCCTCCCACCGCCACACCCATATACCTCTACTCTGTCAACGCTGTCCTCTTTCATCTTCCAACCTCTACCTCCTCCTCATACTCCCCATCGACAACCTTACAATCCCTCAGCCCCTCCTTCTCCGACTTCCACTTATAACTCTCTCTCCCCACCTTCTCAAAACACGTATACTTCAAGAACACATCCCACCAACGATCAAACTCATTCTTCTCAGCCAGTTGGCCGCTTTCATAATCTGTCTTGACTTCCTTTACAATGGTTTCCATGCTAAAGCCGACTTTCTTAGCTTGTTCCTTGCAGCGATTTACAAACTCGTTGTACTTGTGGCGAAGCTGAGATTCATAGCATGTAGGGCAGAGGAAGGACGGTTCGGCTTTGGTGGCCATGTTGACATCTTTGCAGTTTGGCGCACATTTTGATGAGGCTGTTGGGTGGAGGAAGGAGGCGTGAATGGTGTGGCCGCAGATTAGTGTGTGGACTGGAGTGCCTGCGCAGGATGCGAGACGCTTTGTGATGAATTGCGGTGCCATTATATCGTTGGATTGGTAGTGAAAGTATTTCCTAATGCGGCGAGCTGTGTACAGGAAACTGATGTTAGCTACTAAATTGGGGAACCGTGGGCGAGACTTAAATCTGCCCAGTCAACTGCGGTGTGAATGTCGCATAAGCTGCTGTTACATTATGGACTCAAAACAATGTCGCAAGTGCATAATGATAATCTAGCCTTTTGAGCAGTTTATTGTTGAGTTTCATGATGCTTACATCGGAGGCGGATTTAGATCAAGACCCTCAACGCTGAGCTTGAAGCTATCCATGCGCGAATAGCTTCCCGCAACGTCCATATCGAGTCTGCCACGCTCACAATCTTCGAAGTCGACGTCCGCAATTAGCAGTTCATCTTCTTGCTCCCATAGTGGCCCAGCAAGCACGTCACCTAGCGGTGATACGATCATAGAACCGCCGCGAGAAACAAACTCTTCACCGTTCGCAGATGATGACTGGAGTTGCGAGAACGGCTGCTGCTTGGGGCTAAGAGGGCCATCTGTAGTCGATGAAGAATCGATGGCTGAAGAGTCGCCGTTTGCAATTGACGCTTGTCCTTCCGGTATTGGCAAACAGATTTCGTGGCCCTCCGGTGTCTTCGTGATAGTACTTCGTCGTCTGCCAGCGGCCCCACTGCCCTGTTGCGATATTCTCCTACCAACGCCAATTGCATCTCCGTTGCTCTGTGATTGTGCCTGGCCCGAGATCCACTCCGGAAGGTGTTTCTTCTTGACGCACTGGTTCGCGCTCACCACGAAGCATCGACCTTCGCAGCCTACCGTCCGTATCAGCGACGCCCAAGCATCGCGCGCGTCCGCTGTTGGCGCAAACCACAAATTGACGTTCTGACTATACAAGCTCTGTCTTAGAAGCGGCATGTAGTTCTCCCAGCATATCGCCGACCCCATACACAGCTTGACACCCTTGATCTCTGTTGTCACCGCCCTCAGTGTACTGGCACTTCCAAACCCCCAAATCAATCTCTCACTGCCAGTGGGCATGACCTTCCTCCTCTTTCCCAATATGCCCCTCTTTGGATCGACAAAAACAACTCCACAGTATAGTGTTCCGCCAGATTTCTCTACTATTCCGGTAACAACAAAGACACCAGTTTCCCTTGCGATCCTCTCCAACTCCTCTCTTGTCCCATCACCTCTATATTCCTTCCCCCTGGGCAACTCGAGCTTTCTGTCTAACCAATCTTGCCCAGCGCCGCTCGGTGTGTCGCCCATATCGACAGCATCGTGGAAATAGTGTAAGAACTGCTCCCGACCTTCGGGCGCGCGAGCACCAACCGCAGCGCCAAAAGAGCAAGTACGAGGATATCCACCCAGATATGCTTCGGGAAATAGGAGGACATCGATACCTTGGGATGCGGCGCGCTTTGTGGTAGCTTCGAGGGCAGCGAGAGTTTCGGCGGTCGTGGAGAGGGTGCGTGCTTGCGCGGATGCGATTTTGAGTGTTTGGGGCATTTTGAGGACGAGATAGGAGGGAGAAGTTAATGCGCGGTAGAAGACCAAGGAGATTTAAAAGGAGCGACAGAAGAAAGGCACGATATATGAGCGTCCAGAGCTTGTTATGATGACTACGAGGGAGCTAAGCTTCCCAAGCTACCCCGCTCGTACCCCTCGAACAGGCAAAGCAGCGCATCTCCAACATTGATGAAGCAATTGACCAATCAAGCGTCGCGTGACTGATGCATGAAGTATCGTAAGGCTGGATAGTCACGGATAAGGCCGAAGCATCGACGGATGGTGTTGTGGATGCTTGTGGAGCTACTAGATGGACGAAGCTTCCACAACTCCACACCACGACGTCACAGTCAGATGAACACTAGCAGACGGAGATTTTCTTTTCTTCGAATAGAACTTCATTTGCGACAATAAACGACATCTTCCTCGTCATCTAGGACACACATCCATCCCGAAACACGATAACCCAACGACCATCCAACATGTCGCAATCCACAGACCTACCAACCCGTCTAAACTCCCTCATCCCTTCATCCCATCCCCAACTCCGCGACTCCGTACTACCTCAACTCCTCGCCTCAATCCACACCATAGCAGGCCACCTCCGCACCTCCCCCTCAGTGACCCAGGTTGGCACAGCAAACGCCTTCGGTGACGACCAGCTAAACGTTGACGTGTTGGCCGAGGAGGCAATCCGGAAAACGATCGACTCTTGCCCATCCATCGTTACAGCATCCAGCGAAGAAGACCCTGTAGAGAAATCCTCAAAATTTGGAGAGCAAGAAAAAGAAGTCTACACACTAGGTTTCGACCCCCTAGACGGCTCCTCAATCATCGCGCCAAACTGGAGCGTCGGCACCATCATCGGTATCTGGGAAGGAGCATCCGCTCTACATCAATCGCCGGATGAGAAGCAAATCGCTTCTATACTGGGTGTATTAGGCCCACGTACAACCGCCATCGTCGCCATCCGACTGCCAGGAACCAAGGGATCATGTTTCGAAGTCGGATATTCTAACGACGGGACCATGCAAGTCATCCGTCCAGACGTAAAATTGACACAAGGCTCCGAAGTGAAAACCCGGTATTTTGCTCCTGCAAACATGCGCGCAGCGGCCGAAGACCAACGATACCTGAACCTCATCAACCGTTATATCACGCAAAAGTACACGTTGCGGTATAGTGGTGGACTTGTTCCGGATGTTGTGCATGCGCTGGCCAAGGGCCATGGTGTTTATGTGTCTCCAGTCACGGCGCAGAGCAAAGCAAAACTTAGGCGGCTTTATGAGTTGGCACCAATCGCGCTGATTTTGGAGTGTGCGGGTGGTGCGGCATTGGATTCTGCGACGGGGAAGAGGGTGTTAGAGACGCCGGTTGAGGATACGGATGAGAGAGGTGGGTTAATTTGTGGGAACAAGGAGGAAGTTGAGGCTGTGAGGAAGGCCTTGTTGGAGTAGGGTGTTAAGATGTGATGCTAGGAAACAATTATCTCCAAAGATGGCTTGAGATGAGTGAGCGGATATGGATAGTCTTGCTCAACAAATAAACTAAAATACAACTCGATTTCTATTCAATATGCTTCTTCTAGGAATTAAAAGATACTACCGGCGCCAATAAGAAAAAGTGGGTATATGTTTGCCTTGTGTCATCCATAGTGAAGGTATAGGACAACTATTCGCCGCCTGTGGAGCCTTCAAAGCTTGCTGTTGCAGAGGTTGAGATTCTACTCTAGTGATGTCGTACTTTCCTGATGTTGTGCGCCGCTGATCGAAAGGAAAAACTGGTATATAGGTCTAAAGGCGTGCAGATGAAAGATTTCAAAATCTGAAAAGTGTTAGTACAAACCGCTGGCTATGTGCCTTGGTCTCAGTCATCGCAGCAGACCACGCTTAGAATGCGCGACCAGCTTCAACATCATCCTCCCGGGTCCGACTACGATTCTCCGATGTGCCTCTGCTCTCCGGCCGGAGCGCTGCGCAAACCGCCCTGCAGCCATCGACCCAATCGCTCCTCCCTCGCCAGCCTGGCTGCGTCGGCATTGGTAGCGCGGTAAGTCCCTTCGTACTGGCGAAGCTCACTTGACTGCAATCATCCCTCTCTTCGACCTTGACATCCAACTTGCGATTGATATGAATGCCCTCCAACGGAACGTCCCCACGAATCGAGCCAGCAGTGCATTGCGATCGCTGTACCGAGTGCTGGGATACTTTTGTATTGAAATCAAGCGATTTCGTATGTGATAACGGACCAGAGGTCTTGTTCGGCGTTCCGGTTTGAGAGTACCCAGCGCGCGTGGTGTACGTGCCGAAGTAGCGGTTGAAGAAGACTTTGAGTGACGGTGCAGAGGCGCATATGACGGCCAATTGGGCTTCGAGTGTCGTCCATACCCAGCCGGAGTATGCTGCCCAGGTAATGTCGTAGGTAACTAGATCATCAAAGTCAGTTCTGCTTGATTCGCGATGCTGGTGGATGGAAGTCTTACAAAAGTAAAGTTTTGTGGCGTAGAACGTGCGCAGGATACCACAGATACATGTGATGAGCCCCACGCCAAAGATAGCACACAATCCCGTTTTCTGCCTTTTACTGATCTTCAAGTTCCAGATCAGAAGCACTGGCAGCATACAAATAAGGAAGTCTTGGACGGACGAGACGGCCGCGCATGCAACTATTAAGGCGCCCTCATTGCGGCACGTCAGTTCGTTTTGCAGTCTCCAGGCTATGTCGAAGAGGCGGAAAAATCCTACAACGGGTGTGCACGTGAAGACGATGGCGAAGGTAAAGACGATTCCGTAGACGATGCAGAAGACGATAGTACCATAGACCCCTGTGATGGTACGTTAGTGCCTGAATATGTCAAATGAGTTGTTTCTGATCACTTACAATAGATGAAGTGGTTTGTAAGACGGTCGCCAATACGTCGGTAAAAACAGAGGATTGACACTTTAACCAACGTCGTTGATAACATGTAGTTGAGTTCGATTGCCATGGCGATCTGATACGTCAGTATGCTATCGGTGCCCCCAAATATATAGACCTACTTCTCGCGTTGTGACTAGAGTCTCTCTGGTTTGGTCCCAGACATGCCATTGATAACCATAAATGCGAATGCCTTTCCCGATTAGCAATGATTTTGGAGAAGTGAAGTAGTGCTTACCAAGTACAGTAGATATGGTCAAACCGAACAGCGGCAGTATCGCTATGCTTACAAGGATATCGTCCAATCCAGTGTTCTTTGATATGGCCAGTCTTGCCCACATCCGCGCACAGTACACAAGGAATGATATACCCAAGAATACCATCAGCACGATTGGTGTTCCCCAACCTCTTTCCTCTGGATCGACATAATTTGGTTTAGGCCAACTGAGGAGGACTTCCGGTGGAGGGTGTAGACCACCGGCGCGAGCAACCAGCCGGCTGGCATGTGCTCCCAAAACCTCCACGTCCATTTTAGGGTATACGGCCGTGATAGCAGCAGGCCTGGCTGTCAGGGTAAGTAAGGTAAGGAACAACCATCGCAAACAGAGAGAACCACCGGGATATGAGCCACATGTATACGCCAGTCAGAGAGAGGTCCAAGACCTGACTCTGCTAGCGGTAAGTGGGGGTCCATGCCTTCCCGCACACCTCTAGTTCAAACATCAGTCGGGAGATTTACGCCACGCTGCCGCTCCACCTAAGCATATATGGCGTATATGAACTATTTCGCCGATTGCAGCCATAATTAGGTTCTTTCCGTTGAGGCTTCCACGACAGTTGCGGTGAATATCGGGCGCGCTGAAGGGCTGAATAGTCTGCAGTCAGCTTCGAGATGCGCCATCGGCATGACAATCCTGTGCATAGCCCATGAAATGGTGTTGTAGAATCCCGAAGGTGCATATCAAGGACGCACTAGGTGCCTGTGTTGAACCGCCTAGCGTCATGTACCGCTCAGCGCTGATCATTGATCTCCAAGAGTGCGGAAAGCTTTGATCGTACACGTGGCATATGTAACACGAAAGCTTGTTGATGTCGCTGCCGCAGGTGTTTGAAGGATGCAGAGCCCGCTATAGCGGTAAATGATCCGCGGGAGCGTATGGGTCTTGCGAAGCAACTCTTGGGGTAGGATTGCCGATGCTACACACTCGAGCTAGAACCTTTCAATCCTTCCCGTGCCTGCCGATCTGCGACGACTCCACTGAACAATGGCTGGAAGTGATCTATTGTGAGTGACCCTGGCTTCGGATTCGCGTTGGGAATGTGAAGAGCGTTGAACGTGATCGTGTTTCAAAGACTGCATCAAAATATTGATGCCCCACATCCTACGTCCAGAGATGCAGATACTCATATTTCATCATGGTCGCGTGAAGTACACATGAACCGAATTAGGTTCATACCTCAATATTGAGGTAAAACCACTGACGATCATGAAGGGGATGTGCATCCATAGAAAGCTTCATCGGAGAGGCAGCATGATGCGCAACCGCATCAGGCGAGATTGTCGCAATCTTCGAAATTCTACGAGCGCAACTTTTCCAATTGGCAGAGAGAAATCAAAGACTCAGTCGCCCTACGAATGGTTCCTGTTGCGAGTAAGTGTAGGTCTAGGCCAAGGCTACCGGATGCCTCAATAGCCACACTTCAAAACTACTGAACCCCACAAAAGGCCCTACCAAGACCAACGAACAGCTGCTGCTATACCGTCTTTTCCCTGGGAGCTTTCCACCTTTTCAATAAGGTTGCGCTTGCTGCGGGACTTACCACGTCAAAACTCAATTTCGGGGATCGACAGCCACACGACTGACTGGTGCGTGTTCGTGACGAGACTTGACCCGCGCAAACTCGGCGACAGCTCATAGTAAAGGGACAGTATCTGCTGTAAGGTTCGGAAAGATGGATGGACGTGCGCTTGGTGATGCTTAAGCGAGGTGTTGAAGAATGTGGGAATTGACTGAGTCTATTGACCAATGCTGACATCATCAGAGGCGCACGAACACGCCCGCATTCGGGACACTGACACGTTCTTTCACTCCCAACTTACCATATCTTTGTCGCGTTTTTCTGCCCCCTTTCGACACACGATCTAAGGCGGCATCTGAATCCCTCCATTGTTGATGCTCTGTTCAGATAGCGTACTTTCGGCGACAGTGCGCGACGTTCAACGGTAATGGTTACTTTGAGATGGTGTTTCGCTCGTATGCGGCATAGTTCACGGCATGGTCGTGGTTCTCATTACTGCATTACAGATAATGGATATTTGCTGGCTCTACTCACTATGTCGAAAGCAAAGCAAACGCCTCCATGGCCTTTCGCACAGCCTCGGTTGCTTCTTTTTGCGGAACAAGATCAACACCAGCATTATCGGACTGTTCCGAACGTACTTCCCCCATAGCTTCATCTACTATTCCTTGGCTTATGTCGGTATCCTCTGCCTCATTGTCACCTGAAAATTTGCGCGCTACGGCTCTAGAGCCTGCATCGCTTGAAGTCGGATCACGATAATCCCATCTGCCAGGCTGCTTTCGATATGACTTGTTCACCTTAGCTAGGTTTTTATGGACTGCCGTACCGGGGCGTTTTCGGGGCTTCGTTGCCTTCTCATCAGAAAGCACATCCTCCACTCCTCCAAAGCCATCTTGTCGCATGAACTGGTCGAAGAACTGCATACGAGGTTCGTCGATCTTCGAGGCTGCTTTACAACCGCGATAACCTTTTCTCAGCATCTCTGCGACGTACTTATTGGCGAAGTGCTGTATCCTGTCCTCAGTCGGCTCGGTATCCTCCATGGCGGTGTCATTACTGGATCCAAGAGTAAGACTGTCTAGGGCTACCTCCGCACGCACTACATTGATTAGACAAGTCGGGCAGGTGAACGGTTGGCCTTGCATGAGGCGCAGACAGGTCACACCACAGCTTGCAGTGTATTCAGTCTGTATCCGATGGCCACACTGCAGGTCGTGGAACGTTGACGAAGGATTGCATGGGCTGTACATGTCGTAGAATTGCTGCTCGCTCTCCTTCTTCTGGAGCTCACGCCGCTGCCTTTCTGTTTCAACTACATTCCTGTGGAAATTCTCAACTACAGCCCGAGCGCGGGCGGTAGCAGCATCCATATCGAAGCACCTCTCAATCTGAGAAGCTGAGTTGTGCTGCAGATGATAGCCAGATATAGGAGGTCGTGTATGACTTTATGGATCGAAGAGTCTTATGACGTGTTGTTTTGCATCGTGTGTCGATGGCGGACGCTGTTGATCTGGAAGTTGTGTGACCTGCAGATGAGATGTGAGTTGATGAGACGAACCCTCGCGTGAGGACCAACACTATGCCGAAAGCGGCTGACTAATATTGTGACAGGGCTTCATCCTTGCAGCGATCTGCAGCAAGACACCCACAAGATATAGCGGCGAGACATTCCTACTTGTGTATTCTCATCCGACTTACCACAATGTCGAATGGCGGGTAATGTAGTTCGACTCCTGTATCGGTTTCGAGTAGTACGACCTTACTTACAGGCCATCCATTACTGTCTTGATAACCATCGAAGTCAAACCAATCGCACGTCTCCAATCCGGGGAAGATCATTCTCCACACTTGTGCTCCAGGCCCGAATTCTTGTGTCTCGCCTACGCCTTCAGCAGGTTCTAAAACAACGCCTTGAGGAGTGGAGAAGTAGCGTGGCTGTGCATCGGCGGTCCAGGACAGACGGTCTATAGCCTCAAGCGCTGATGAACCGTTCACAGTCAAAGAGCGGAGGTACAGGATCTGGTCTTGAACTACGAGATCCGCATACGTCGAGGAAGAGTTCGAGAGGGCAGTGGCTACTTGATCAGCGATTAGTCCAGTGTCCTCGCCAGCGTTGTAGAACCCAGCGTATCGCTCCTTTGTTCTTTCACTCAACGCTTTCGCGAAAGCAGGCGCAAGAATATCATGTACAGTTGCTCTGATCATGCTTGTCGAAATGCCCGCATAGTCGGCCAGCCCGGACTGTTGCGCCAATACGATGATTCCATATCCAAGATTTGGAATAGTGTCGATCCAGCTATGCCAACCCCCACCATCGCCAGACTTCCCGAAAATACTATATGTCTTTGTACTTTCTTGTGCTAGACTAGCATTCTCACTCGTTGGTAAGGTCAGAATCTCGATCTCCCAGCCTGGGCCGCTTTGCTGTTTGCCGTCTGGAAGTATGACGCTTGGCTTCATGACCTGGCGACGCTGGAAGGGCGTGATAAGCGTGGGTTCGGGAGTGAGCCATAGGTTGTAAATGTAGCTGGCGAGATCGTTTGCAGAGCTCCACATGCCAGCTGCCGGATCGTAGCCCTCGCCTACAATCAGATCAGCCCAGTTGTCGCCACCTGGTACACCAATGTCTGGAATGAGGTTCTGCGGAATGGCGCCAAAGAAGCTATGCGACATGTTCAGACGCAAAAGAAGTTTTTGGGTCGCAAGCTCAGACCAGGTGAGGGATGAGGAAGTGACGTTGTTGAAGTATGTAGCCACGGCGGCACCTAGGAGGCCCAGTCCAGCGTTTGAGTAAGCCGCCCTCTGCCCTGGTGCGAACATCAAATTCCTTGTAGCTATCCCATCGATCACATCTCCCGCGCTCTGGCCTGCCCATACCGCTCCAATTGTTGGTGCATCCGCTTTTCCAATGCTGAGAATCATGTTGAAGCCAGTACTGTAGCTTTCTCTCGGTATCCCTGCTGTATGACTCGCAAGCATACGCAGTGTGATCTCGCTACCGCCGTTGTTCCAGTCTTTCTTTGGAAGAGCAAACAAAGGAAGCAGTTGGCGAACGGGTGTGTCAATGGTCAGGAGAGAGGAAGATGAAGACGAGTTGCGTCTGAGCTGATTTTCGATCACTAGAGCGGATGCCATCGCGATGTTCTTAGAAACGGACATCAGACGGAAGACTGAGTCGCTTGTCACTTTATTTGCTTCAGTCGGGTTAAGATCAGTCTCATTGAACTTCAGCGTTCCGTTATTGAACGTGTACGCCGGCCTCGGGCTCGATGCGTGAACCTTGTGCTCGTGAGTAACCATTCAATACATAGAGCTAGCCCGGTACTTACAACAGCAAAACTATGTCCATCGCGTGTAGTGTTGGTGTACAAAGTCGAGAGATTCCACTGAACTTGCTCAAATGCCGCGATTACTGCTGGATGTTGGATTACTTGGGGGTCAGACAGCAGCTTATCGGCAAAGTCGGGTACACATGCGCATGCTGCATAGGGCAGCAGGTGTGCCGCAAGCACGAGGAAGACCCTCATCGCGACAGATCTTGTTTCCGATACCGATTCGCGAAAGCGAGTTCTTGAGACACTCACGTATGCTTGGGTTCATGAGGTATTTGTATATCACGACGCAGGTGCGGATGCGGATACTCAGGTACCGCCGAGGGGGCCCGGGAGACACGTCGTGCGCCGAGATGGATGCATGAAGCCAATGGTGTGCTTGCGTCCCCGCGAATAGTGACATATGCCTATCGGAGCTACATCAGTATACACATTGCTGCAGACAAAGCATGGAGCTCCTGGTATCTCTACATCCTCTCACTTTTTCGTGGTCAACATATCGGATCAAACGATCACGAATCAGTTTAGCCTTTAGAAATTGCAGAATATAGTGATAGCTTAATTGCCGAAATAAGCACGAGAAGGACCGAGATGGGATGAATTGGGTTGGGATGTGCGAAGACCAGCAAGAGTGGGGCTGTTGTGTCGATCCTCACCCCGCGTTCGAGCTTATCGCGAAGGATTAGCAGCCTTGCATCTACACTCTCCATTCGTTCTTTCCTCTCCATGCCGATGACTGCTGTCCTCGTAAACGACTGACATACATTCTTTCATAGCTTTGCAGTGTTATCGGCTTCTTCCGCCTTTCTCTGCTCTAAGATTGTAGGAAGACGATAGAGGAGAATCGTTCATGGGCACATTCTGGAGTCAGAGATGACAAGAGCACAGAGGAGAAGCACACGCGTTCGCAGACCACACAATACGACACCACACGGCCAGGCGATGCCAAGTAAAGTTTCAGGACATTCCGCATGGTCCTAAAGATGGTCAAATTCTGAATGGATGAGGCTCAGGTTATGCGTGTTCTTGGCCTGGTGGTTTGCCATCAATCAACCATTGCAAGCCGATGATAGTATATGTATCTAATACCCCTTTGACTCTTAATGACCTAATATGGCGACCAATTCACTGATTCGGGATCGTTTCTTTTGCTCTGGCTGCCGCGTGAGCTTCGCAATCTGATTTACCTCCACTTTTGGGATTTGCTACAAGCAGACGGCAACAAATACTTCTGGTATGGCGTGAAGCTGAACAGGTATCATATCAATCTGTTCCGGCCCGTTCAGCGTGCCCTCTATCGGATTACATGTTCTCCAGAATACTCTTAACTTCCAGAGTCAATCTTGGTCAACCGTCAGATCCGCGACGAGGCAATGCAAGAGCTTCTTCTCCACAGTCAGGTAGAAGCCGATCACATGCACGTTAATCAATCTAACCAAACATGTGATGTCGACGTGTTCAACTTGCTGCCGCAACTCGAGGAGCTGTGCATAAAAGCTCTTATGTTGTTGGAGAGGAGCAGCAGCGGTATGATGTTGTACTTTCTCCCAAAGAGCTTCCGTATGCTTGTAAAGCATGGCCTTCAACTCCGAGATAGCGCTGAGTTCAAGAGATTGCGCATCTTTTACAGATTGAGTACTTGTTCAAGTGTTCTTGCGGCTGGTCAGATACAAGCTGGTCTATCTCCACTGGAATCATTCGGATGCGAGCTCGATGTACTTGAGGTGAGTTTAGGCCGAAGACTATGTCTTCAGGAAGCATCTCATTGGGAAGATCACGTACGCGGGGGTATCATGAGCGAGCTCGAGCGCCTTGTGAGCTTACTGCGTATCGGAACAGCCAGCGTTTGTGAGGAGGAAATGCAGGACTAGCGTTGCACATTTCTGATGAGAAACTGATGACGAATTTAGTTTTGTTTTGTCGAATACTCCGACCAATATTGTAACGTTTCTGACATGTAATAAAACGTATATTGGTTGTAAGATAGTAGAACCGAGAAGATAAGAATAACGTATATAGCTCTTCCGCAGTTGGCGAGAGGTGACCAGCCATTGCTCCATTAACGTAAAAAGAACGTATCTCTAATCAATGCATCGCCCTCCTCTTGGCATCTAAGCTGAGATCGGTCAATGTCAAGACCTGCGATGTCGGTTGACCTCCTCTTGACAGGACCTCTCCTCTCCATACGTCGAGGTTCTATGCTGTGTTGCTGCCATGGATTCTGGGACATCAAAACTGGCATTGACGGTCGGGAAGCGAGGAACCGTTCCGGCAGCACGGCCTGGTTTTGCTGTCTTTTCTTGACACGAGCGCGCTCCTCTAGCGAATCGAGCCTCAACTGCAAAGACTCTAACTTCTCTCGTGTAGCTTCCGCTTCTATACCTTCTGTGCACGGAGAAGGCTCAGGTTCATCTTTAGTGCTACGACGTCTGGGCCGTGACGAAAGAGTTGTGGTTGCGGGTAATTGCTGGCGCGGCGAAGCAAGGTTTGCGTTGGTCGCCAACTGTTCGCGCGGAGGATGTGGTTGAAAAACCTGGCCGCTCAGGGCCTGAGGTCGAACCGTACGTGAGGGAGGAGCTGTGTGATAGCGTCTATGCCATTGGGTTGCTCTTATTTCGGCAGGTCCAACTGGAATAGGATGAGGTGGAGGGAGTGCAATTCTTTGCCGCTTGTCGAGGTTAACAGTGCAAGCCGATGCGCCAACGGACAACCCATCAATGTGTGGCACGGCTAATGGAGCTTCATCACACAATGGTGCGGTGTTCCTTCTTCTCAAGTCGGTTCTTACCATCGACTTCGTCTCAGACTTCGAAGAGCTCTGGGTTGAGGACGTAAGGTTCTGACGCAGTCGATCTAGCGTTTGGACGAGTATCGCACAATTCTTGCACTTAGGTGTGCTTTCGAATTCAGAACTTGGTCGTGGTAGGGAGGCTGGGGTAGAGGCGTTGCTCATGTAGACATGTTGGACGTTCGGACTTGTCTCGCCGCACACCGATTGCAGCTTCTCCACGTTTATTGGAGGGTATGGCACAGTATCTACTGAGTTTTGTTTGTGCTGCCACTGTTGAATCTTCTCTTCCGTAGTCATTGACCGTGAGAAGTTCGAAAACAACGAAGGGCCTGCGAGAGGCTCGAGATCGATACCGTGCTGCTGCTTGAAGTCCGCGGGTAGAGTCGTCGCTCTGGCAAGCGGCCTTTGCAGGTGTTGCGGTGGTATCTTCTTGGAAATGCCGGGAGCGCGGCGTAAGGCCGGCTCTACATCGCTACTCAGTCTTCGTAGGGGGGCAAGACCTGGACCCGATAGGTCCATGATACTAACTCTCCCATTCCGGATAATTTCAAGCATCGCGTCGCCTTTGGGGGCCGTCGTTAAGTTTTCGTAACCACAAGAGGTGATAAGAATGTCGTCTTCAATGCGAACACCGCCCACAGGCATGTATCGCTCCAATACCTCACTATTGATAAACTTAGAGTGGATGGGAGATGGGAGATAGAAGTGCTGTAGCGCATATGCCGAAAAGTAGATGCCAGGCTCCACCGTGACAATCATGCCTTCTTCGAGATGGCTGCTCTGGGGGTCGGATGGCGCGTGACAGGTCTTGGAGTCATACACCGGGACATGGAAGTTCTGTGGGTAGAGGGACGGCGCCTATTGTTCTGTCAGCTATTGATTAAAAGGCGTGTTGCTCGAACTTACCTGCTGGTACACTGGCTTTCCTCTTCTGACACTCATCAGCTGTGCCTGACCCACATCATGCACCTCGAGACCTATGTGATGTCCAAGACCATGCGGAAAGAACGCTCTACTTGTGCCAGACCTGTAAATTTCTTCCTTCGTTCCGTTGTGGAGGATTCCTAGCTGCAGCAGTCCATCGATAGCGATCTGATGTGCCATGATGTGGAGATCCAGATACCTCACGCCAGGTTCTAGCCGCTTGATACACGTCTCCTGCATACGTTCGACTAGCTTGTAAATGTTCTCTGCCTCTTTGCTCGGCCAAGAAGCAGACAGCGGGAAACTTCTTGTAATGTCACTTGCATAGAGTTCGTACTCGCATCCTGCGTCTAAACACATGAGTTGACGACCTGCGAGATCTTCGTTGTTCGCGTCATAATGAAGAGTTCCAGCATTCGGCCCAGACGCAGCGATGGGATCATAAGCCTGTTGCTTCGCTTGATGCGATATGCACACATCTATGAAAAGACCCTCAACCTGCGCTTCGTTCTTGAACTTTGCGATGTTAGCAAGTACTTCTCGGTGTGCTTGCGAGCTTATGTCATTCGCCTTCCGGATGAGTTTGATCTCGTGATCATCCTTGACCATGCGACATATGTTCATCGCTGGCCGAAGGTTTGTCGAATCGATGCGAGGCTTAAAGTTCTCGCAACCTGGGAATGACGATGCCTGGTGCAGGATGTAGATTCCAGCCTGCCGATTACTGATTGCCCAACCTTGGACAGCGTACTGAAGCTCATCTGCATAAAAAACTTGATCAACATCGTACTTCACAAGCGCCTCTGCCAGAGTAGAGCCGCGGCCATTCCAGATGACGCGTTCGGGCTTGATGCGTGGAATGAATAAAGAGAGTTCGTCTCGTCGCGTGTCGTACGTCAGATGGCAGTCAGGCTCATTGCATCTTCATACCATCAGCACGACCCTCACAGTACTCCCAGATCAACGCACCCGCTTAAATAGTAGAAGTATCGGCGTTGTCGAAATGGCGCTGGCATGTCGCTATCCTCGTTGTTTCTCGCCGGCTGACCTGAGAGGTATATCAAGCCTTCCTCAACACCCAACTTCTCTTGCACCCTCCGCGCATGTTGTTTTGCTGCGCAACGTTAGCTCGATTCGCGACCTACATGTATCTCCATAAGCTTACCGGGATACTTCTCGAACGGAGTCTCAGCCTCGAGGTGCAACCAATACTCGTTGTCTTCCCATCTTAGGCGCTCGGAGAGACCTTTCACATCGAGAACTTCCATCTTGTTACCTCGTGCTGCCCCTAGGAAGAACTGCGTATGCGAAAGGTTGGAGTTCCGATGGAGATGTGACCAGCGTTTTAGTGTTGTCGAGGATCCTCACCGGTAAAGCCACCGCATCGGGCACGTGCCATCCTCTCCGGTCAGTCAACCGGGAACTACGAATGTGAACACTATCGTTGCATTTGGCCCATCATATCTACAACTTGACTGGCGCTGATGGTAATCTTCTCCAAATAGGCTGACATAGTGACAGCACTGCGACTGCAAATATGTACGCTTGATAACGTTCCTCAGAGGCTGCCCTAGGACCCGCGCCTGCTTTTCACGGCCATATACTATGCGACATCGTGTTCATGCGGCATTCGTGCCCATGTGCACGTCTGCATCATGCTCACTGCATATAATAGGTAACACGAAGGGATGTACACCGATTGCGGGTCATTCCAAGAAAGAAGAAGCAAAATGCAAGGTGCTGAATCGAGAAGAGCGCTGATTGGCTGATGCGGCTTGACCGGTCAACCGGTGAAGAGAACGAACACTAAAGCACGTACGAACTATGTCAGCCTGAATGATGTCGCACAAATATCCGACCGGTTCCGATATACTATAGGTTTTCGATCGTATCTGCACTGGGTCTTTGCTCTTAGTAGATGTTCACCATCGTACATGCTGATGGTGTTCTAGTGCGATACACGGGAAAAACTTTTCTTATGATTCTATGAAAACCATCAGCAAGCAGCTTAGAACAGTCGTATTGAAAACCCTTCGCCTCTCAGCCCTCTAAGGAGGTTCCTAACGCCATGTAAACTCGATAACGCAATTATCATAACTTAGCGAGGATATTTCCAACAAAGAAACGAAGCCACATTTCCATTGCCGTACATGAACGGGAAGGATACTAAGGTCAAACCCAAGCCATATTTCATCCACGATGATCAAGTTAGGACGTCCCCAACGCCAAGACCATGCCGCGAAGTTATCCAGAAGGCCGACCCAGGAGGTCCTCAGCGCGCGTCCATGAGCTTAGATCTGACGCTCGCGCTCAGCTTTCATGCAATACATACTTTCTGAGGACTCGAGAACGGCCTGTCGTCCTGCGGTGTGCCAGTAAGGAACTTACCGCCAAGATAGTTGGCATCTGGAAGTTCGTTTCGGTTTTGAGTTCCCTCGTTGGGTTTTGCCTTGCCTTCGCGCATGCGCTTGAAGTAGTAGAAAAGCATCTCGATCTCGCCTGTTGGGTCTTCTCCGCTCTTGTTGTATGCACGAAGCTCTGTACCGGTGATGGACATGGCGGAACCTAGCCCCAGGTTTAGTACCATGCGAGGGCACTTGAGTTCGATGGGGCACCTCGATACTCAAAATACCAGGAGCTTTAAGCCACGTTCCTTGACTATGTGGTGAATCGAAGTGATGGAAAGAATCCTCGTGGATAATCAGTCCATCGAGTCACCGGATCAAAACGGTGAACTCAGCACCTTCTGGCACCGCGTGGATATGCTTGTTAACATCCACAACCATTGCGACTTGTCCACTCTTCTGGATGCGCTACTGAGCATCGTAGCCTGACTTCTGCTTGTGAAAAGTGGGTTATTTCTACTTAGACGTCGTCCAAACACCAAATCCCCATTGGCGTTCTTTACTCAATTATCGGCCTGATTGTGCTGCAATTTCTGCTCGTTTGGCATCTTCGTACACGTCAGTCCCTTGTTGGACGAAGTTCTACCCATCATCAGCTGTATACGGATGAGAAGGTCGAAGTGGTCGCTTGGTAATCCACCCAAATGGCTACGTGACTGTACCATCCCACCAGACGCCTCAACGAAGACGCTGAATGTATCCACGCTCATGCATGGTAACGTCTAGCCGGCTCTCAGCGGACTTATCTGCGACAAGAGTAGGTCGGTTAGCGGCCCAACACGCATCTGGATAACGGTGCCAGTAGGGGCGTGAGGACTTTTTACAATATTTTCCAGCCTTCTCACGCGTACAGTGATCGCTGTAAGTTGGGCGTTTGGTGCTAGGTCCGCTGATCTTGGACGTCTCGACGTCGAGGCCACTGAAGGGGTTGCCCGGTGAAGCCGTACATACCTGGGCCGTCTCAGCGTGAATGTGGAGAGATTGTGACCCACTATTAAAGTTGGTGGTGTTGCCGGTTTCGTTGCCATTGTTGCCGTTCCTACCGCAGACCATGTTCATGTAGAGATCCCGTTAGTGGTCGCGCTCTTCGCGGAGCTTGTCGTTCTCGAGAAGGCCAGCCTCGATTGCGCCTTTGAATTGATCGCGCTGGCGAGCTAAGTTATTGATGCGGTGGGCGAGTTGGGTCTCGAAGTGTTGGAGAAGATAGGGCTAAAGTCATCGTCTGAATCCTCAGAGACCGGACCCATCATGCGATCTACAAGGGCGTAGACATGCTTCCGCGGGTCGACGATGGTCTCGTCCTTGGACTCCACGGTTGGCATTATAATATCTAGGACCAGTTAGTCATGCGTGTAAGTAGTCGATGAAAGGGTCAATATATACCTTTTGTGAATTCGAGAACAGCTGAATATGAAGGCTGAAGTGGTCGCTTGGTGAACTTTACAGACCGGTACTAAAGGTAGCGGGCGGAGGTGGTGCCAAGCATCGTGATAGCTAGCATGATGATCCGTGTGCGAGCAACAGCCACAATTTCGACTTCTTCGCAAGCCGGTGACAGGAACGCAAACGGATGCTACGTCATCAGGGGCCCGAAGTAGGCATGGAAGGCAACGTACCTGAGATCGACCACGTCTCATTGGCCAACTTGAGCGCGCGAATAGCCGTCGCAAGCACGTAACTCGGTCTTGTACTGCCCGTATGCGAAGTGAGAGTGAGACCTGGCTGCCTAGCCGGAACCTTGTTCCACCAGCATCTGGGGCAGCACCGTCATCGCTGCTCTCAGCGACTATACAACCCGCAGCACCTTTCATCACTTCGACTCTGGATCGTAGGGAAAGATGAGAGTCACCAAAACTCATAAGAGTGAAAGACAATTTTGCATTCAGTCTGGTCGCAGACAGTCATCTCTGTCATGTACTTGTTGCTTGCAGAAAATGACCTCCGAGGGCTTTGGGATTTGTACACAGGACGAGGTGATTCGCGTTCTTCCACACAATCAACACGCACTGTTCGCAGTACTGTATTTGCCGTACTGAAGCGTATCTATCAACGTCATCTTATTATTATTTTTCCATTGAGCTTTTGGCCTTGTGCCTGGTCTTGAGGAAGAAGAGTCATTTGATTGGACAAGTGAATATGTTCAAGTTAGTAAGAAAGACGGACACCAACGTTTCAGACTGAGAAAGATGTGATAGTGTTGAGAACGAATGTTATGAAGATTGTTTTGGAATAGCCATGCTATGTGAATAGCCGCTCAGGAAGGAAAAGGTTGTGAACATGGTAGTAGCAGACATAATGCCATATGAGTAGTTACAACTCTATTAGTCGCTCTCGTCGTCGTCGTCATCATCATGATCATGATCATCATCGTCGTCATCTTCCATATCCTCGTCTTCATCTTCGTCCGAGGCATCAATCACGTGTACCTCTTCCGGCCACTTCACGGTCACTTCCTCCTCTAACTCCTTCCAGAACTTTCTCATATCCGTCCCCGTGTGTTCCTTCACCGTTCTGGAAGGTGCCTTCAAGTCCCCGTCAGCATCCTCTTGCTTGAACCCCACATGCATATGATCTTGCTGCAGCAGACCAAATTTTAGATGACTGAGAGCAAGTCTCTGAATCTTGGATAGTGTGTGGAAGAAGTTCCTCCAGAAGTTGGGCTTGTGTCCGAACGGCGGAGCGGCTGCAGAGGGGAGGTTCATTCTCCAAAGGCTCAGGTCTTCCAGGGTCGGTGCGAACTTCGTGATGAGAGCGACAAGAATGTCAGCGCGAGCGCTTAACTGACCGAGTTCGAGCTTCTTCAAGAGCGGTAAAGTGATTGTGGCGGGGTCAAGAAAAGCGGTGTTGCTTGGAACGTCGACTGGCTCTGGAGTACCCAACCACTGCAGAAAATCCTCGTTGTTGGCTACCAGATGTTTCTCAAAGTTTAGGCGGAGGTGTATGAGATTTGGGGTGAAGTGTAGGAAGCGCCGAAGTGAGCGTCCCGCGTTCGGGTCTGCAGACGTTCCATTGCTGTGAGTGTGCAGATAACGAGGCTTGAGATCCACATTTAGTAGTAATGTGGTTGTATTTTGCAGTATGGGCTCAATGGTCGGTCGGATATAATCGGGGAGAAAGAATGCGGTATCTGGAAGGCCACGCTGGCGGAGTAGCACCTCAAATTCAGTAGGTCTTCGGTTCGCCTTGCCTAGAGCGTACAGCACACAGGAGAAGACACGAGATGCAAAACGAGTGCCGATCTCATGTGCGAAAGTGTCGCGATCAGAAAACTGCATCCCAATACCGGTCTCGCGATAGACGGTGGTCGCGCCCCAGGAAGCCCAACTCTTGCCGTCGCGGACTCGATTGCTCGCGTTGAAGTCGCGGATCCCGATGGTGGTAAGGTTTTCAAGACGCTCGAAAGCTTCTGTGAGCATCTCGCGATCGATACCTGTGCCTAACAAAGTTTTCTGCTCCTCATAGCCTTGGATGTAGCGTATAGCGGCGTCTTCATCTCTGAAGCGTAGCGGTATCTCAGTATAAACGTTCGTGGCAATGATGAGATGCGACACTTTCTTGGAAAGACTGGCGTGTTTGGATATGTCAACAAGTGCTTGCAAGCTCTTGTGCGTAAGCATGAATTGCTTTTTGAAGAAGAATTCTTTCGAGAACCATTCGTAGAGCGACTTCTCAGTTTGTTTGCACACAAGTCGGAGCGATCCTAGATCTTCGGTGGGAAGGTACTCTGAGACGGCGACAAGTAATTCCAGGGGTATTGTGAGAAGCGATGCCATCTTGACGGAAAGTGATATTGCGGAAGTCTAGAGTCGCAGTTCTGATGATGGTGGTGCTTGTAGTACCACATCGTCTTATCATGTGTGAACGCGTCGATCTCGCGAAGGCAGAAATGAACGCTAGTCCGCTTTTGGGGCTGATGCCTAAGGGCGTTCCTTTCAGACCCAGGCCAGCGTCTCACCGGCCGCCTAATCTCGTCTCAATCGATTGTTCAAATACCCATTCCTCACCTCGAATTCGGTTGCATCGCATCTTTCTCAACTCCAATCGCACCAATGGCTCGCAAAGCTGCACAGAAAGCCCCAGCGGCCTCTCCCCTTGATGGATGTTCCGTCGCGGCATCTGGCCGCTTCCCCGGTGGAGAAACTCAATCGACACTAAAGGCGCGTCTAACGTCACTCGGCGCTACATTCGCGTCCAGCGTATCAGCGGACACGACGCATCTCATCGCAACAGAGAAGGATTTCGAGAGTAATTCTACAAAAGTACAAGCTGCAGTTGCTCATGACGTGCCTGTTGTCACACTCGAATGGCTCAATGAATGCGAGGCGACAGGCAAGTTTCAAATACTTTCTTTTTCCAAATCGTCATATACACTTCGAGATACCATGACGATCTTCAAGTTGACATCGGAGACAGATTCCAAGGTCAATGAGTCGCAGTATTTGCTGTCTGATTCGGCCGCGCCAGCGCCAGCTCCTGCTCAAAACGGGTCGAAGAAGCGTGCGGCGTCATCTGCCTCACCACCAGCAGCTGCACCAACGGAAGTCAAGAAGCCAAAGATTAAGGAGAACGCGAAAGTCGGCGATGGTCAAAATGCCAAATCAAAGCAGATCGACATCCCTGTAGATGAATTCTGCCCTCTAGCCCACTATCGAGTCTATATCGATGACAACGATGGCACGATCTACGATGCGTCACTGAATCAGACAAACTCATCCGCCAACAACAGTAAGCAGTAGTAGCCTCATTCAGTTCAAGCATATGCTAACTCTATCAGACAAGTTCTACAGAGCTCAGGTTCGTATGAGTTCACGAATGTCTCTATGCTCTACTAACGCTCTAAGCTTCTCACCAATGGTTCTGACTTCCAAACCTGGACACGCTGGGGGCGTGTCGGTGATCGTGGTCAAGTGAAGATGCTTGGCGACGGGAGTTTCGCCACTGCCATGAAGGAGTTTGAGAAGAAGTTCAAGGACAAATCAGGTCTCAGGTGGGCGGACCGTGGCGAAGAGCCGAAAGCTGGCAAGTACGCTTACGTAGAGCGCTCGTACAATCCTGAATCGGACGACGATGTCGACGACGACGATGCTGGCACTGGCGCTGATGTCGAAGATACCAAGGACAGCGTCACGCCTGCTGAGAGCACCTTATCCCCGCCTGTCCAGGATCTCATGGAGCTCATATTCAACCAGGTAAAGCTGCAGCATTCGTCCGACTCGTGGTACCGGGGTGTTGGAAAAAATGTCAAGCTAACAGTGGATAGGACTACTTTAACGCAACCATGTCTGCGCTCAACTATGATGCCAACAAGCTTCCACTGGGCAAGCTGAGCAAAGGTACTATCGCTCGTGGTTTTCAAGCGCTGAAAGACCTCTCGGTATTAATCGACAACAACGATGCCACGTCTAGGGAAGAGGTGGAACGACTGTCAAACCAGTACTTTTCCATCATCCCCCATGCCTTCGGTCGTAATCGTCCACCAATCATTCGGGATATCAATCTGCTTAAGAGGGAGATTGAGCTACTCGAGAGTCTGTCGGATATGAAGGAGACGGCTGCTATGCTCAAGGACCAATTGAGGGACAAGAGTGATGTCAACAAGCTTGATAAGCAATTCCAAGGGCTGGGTATGAACGAGATGTCGCCTCTCGATCACAAGAGCCGCGAGTTTGTCGAAATCGACGAGTACCTCAACAACTCGAAGGGCAAGACGCACAATGTTAGCTACAAAGTCCAGGAGATTTTCCGGATTGAACGTCAAGGAGAATTCGAACGTTTCGACAAGAGTAAGTACTCGAAGATCGCCAGTAACCGTCGTTTGCTCTGGCACGGATCTCGTGTCACCAACTATGGTGGTATTCTGGGCCAAGGTCTCAGAATTGCGCCACCCGAAGCTCCTGCCACCGGATATATGTTCGGTAAGGGTATCTACCTGGCCGATATGTCTTCCAAATCCGCCAATTATTGCAATGCGTACAACTCCGGGGGTACTGCCTTGCTTCTTCTCTGCGAAGCTGAACTTGGCAACCCGATGCATGAGCTCACCGACTCATCGTACACTGCTGGAGAGGATGCAATCAAGAAAGGCATGTACAGCACGTTCGGTATGGGGCAGACCGGTCCAAGCAAGTGGAAGGATGCCGGTTGCATGAATCCAGCCTTGAAGGGTTGTATGATGGTAAGCAGGCTTTCATTTTGCGTCTAGATTGCCAACTGACCATTATACTAGCCTGACGTATCGACTCCGCCTGGTCCTACGAACGTACCCAATGCTTATTTGCAGTACAATGAATACATCACCTACGATGTCGCACAGGTCAAACTCCGTTACCTGCTCCGCGTCCAGATGTAGGCTTGCCTCGCGTAAAATTCTAGCATCTTCCCAACATCTATCGTTTTACCTCCACGGTTTTCCGGTTCGGCGTTTAGGCCTTCGGAGGGGCGTTGTCATGGCATTCGGTCAAACAAAGCGGCATGCTTGTCGTTGTCTTCAGTTCCGCAATGTCATTACCTGTTCTCACTTGCATGTATTTCTTGCGGTACATGGTACCATCTTGCTCTGATCTCAGTCATCAGATGAATCAAAGGGTCAAAAAGCATGGTATATTCGTCGTAGATCAAATACAAGCATCGCAAAGGACTGCTATATACATAGGGGTAAATCATCAAACTCCGGTCCAGCATAAAGGCGACCCACTCTAATCGCGCCCACCCACCCTTCTCTCATAGTCATCTTCAAGCCTAGATGCATCAACAACCTCGACGCCCTTGCCCAGACCGATCATATCACTGCGAACCTGCCACCACCTGACAGTATGCTCACTCTCCTTGCCCTTGCGCATAGGGCCCTCGTCATCCGTGTCGACAAGCCCACCGAGACCGGTACCGTCAGCGCCAACAACGACGATGGTCTGACCAACCCACTTCCGCACGTCCTCAATGTTCTGACCGTTCACACCGCTCAATGCGTCGACTACGTAAACAAGCTCGGGTCCGAGGTGCCTGAGCATGTGCACGAATCCTGTGGTGGTATTGAAAGGCATGACCATCGCTGGGTCCTCGACTAGACGGAGTGCTTGCGAATGGAGGGTGTTCCAGAGTGTGTTGTCAGACCCTCGGGTGCTTGGTGCTGGTGTGTAGACGACTGGTTCAATAGACGATAGTTCCTCGCCTGGTGTGCGTGCAGGTGTGCTGATGGCGGAGTATGAGCCACCGAGCGAGGACGATCCAGTGCGAGAGTTGGACCGGGATTGTGGGCGCGAGCCCAGGGATGGGGAGTAGATGAGGACGAAGAGCTTGGTTCTGGAGAAGTCGGTGTCGGGGAGGTGGGAGAGGATGGTCTGCAAGCTGTCAATTTCTGAATGGCGAAAGGGGATATGGTATAGGGAACTTACAGCGTTCTCTTCACGGTACGAGCCCTCGTCATCATCCACTCTGTCCACCAGACTCTCCGCGCTAACGACCAGAACCACCGTCTTCCTCTTTCCGCTGTACTCGCCTCTCCCTTCAGCCTTCCGCACACTCGCCGCAAAGCTCCGCGCCTGGGCATCCACGGCAGCATTGCTATCCCGACTCTGCGCCTCAACATTCCTCCTGATAGTAGCCTCCTCGCTCCATCGCGAATGATCCCCGAATGCCTCGTCTTTGTCTTCCTCGCGGATAGAAGCAAGCGCCGCACCAGCAGCTGCACCCGCGGCGGCCCAACCCGCCGCCGTCTTCTTACTCACAGTATCAAACAATTGCTGTGGCGATGGTGTGCGTCTGATGACGCCTTGTGCGCGACCGAGTAGTGTGCCGTCGCCGCCCCCGTATCCATAGCCTTCACCGCCTCCTTCCCCTACTGGGAAACCAGATGCATCGCGTGTTGCAGGCGCCCTGCCTTGTCGCTTCTCATGCGACGAATCTTCTCCGTAGGATAGGTCGTCGTCGGAAGAGTAATCGCGACTATCCTCGCGCGCACTCCATACCCAAGCTGCAAGACCAGCAGTCGCGACCGTTACGGTGAGGATGAGAGGAACGTAAAAGCCGAGGGCGCTGCGGTTGCGCGAGTTGGATTGACGACGGTCGTAGCGGTCGTAGTTGAAAGAAGACATTGTGGTGCTTAGGTCATGATAGTTCGTGGATGTTTCGTGGCGGATCAAACGCTGTCAGGAGTTTGAGATTATTGTTTTGGTGGTCAGCCGCTGCCGCTCGGCTCCAAGGCAGCTTCCCTGTTGTTGACGCCGGCGGTGGCTGGGGGGAGCTGATGGGCTGCTTGACACGTGCGTGCCTGCCGAGGCGAGTGTGTGCGAGTCAGGGTTTGAACTTTTGGCGGCGGGGTGACTCTTACACCCCACACGCACGTCTTTGTACCTGCAGCTACACTCAGTAGACGCCAATACCATCACCCACGAGACCAAGTAAATTTACAACTATAAACAACCAGGGCTGAACCGGAAACTCCTAGATCTCAAGCCCGCATACACATCGTGGAAACCATCTCACATTCTTACAATGCCTCACGCGACGAGTCTTCCCGCGCCAGGCTTCCAGGCCCTCATTCTGTGCGGGCCTGGCGCGTCCTTCAGTACTTTCACATCTACGCCGAAAGAGATTCCAAAAGCATTGTTGCCCATTGCGAATAGACCTATGGTCTGGTATCCCTTGGAGTGGTGCTACCGTATGGGAGTTACAGGTACAACATCGCGCATATCCTCTTAATACATTCTCTGAACTAACACCTTGCAGACATCACAGTCGTGACACCGCCAGAGTCATTAGAAGCCATCGAGGCTGCCATGTCACAGAACCCGCACCTCACAACCCTCCCTTCGCCAAAGCCAGACATCCTTGCGCCGAAAGACCTTTCACACCAAACGAGTACCGGCGACCTCTTCCGGCTACCTGAACTACAGAACGCTATCAAAGGCGATTTCATAGTACTACCATGCGATCTTGTATGCGAATTGGACGGCACAGCGCTTGCAGACGCGTGGATGGTCGAGCAGGGTGGTTTTGCAGGAGCCAGTGGTGGACTAGATCACAACGGCAGCAAGATCGCATTCGGTGCTGGTGGTGAGAAGCTTGGACGAAGAGGCGGAATGGGTGTATGGTATCAGACCAAAGGTGAAGGGAGCAGGAAGAAGGAGGAAACCGACTTCATTGCGACGACACCACTACCAACACCCATTGTCCCAGTTCCGACAGATTCGCTACGCCGAAACATCTCGAAACTGGTGTATTCTGTTCCCACCGATACCCTTAACGATATCACAGAAGAGAACAAGACATTCCCACTGCGGCATTCGCTCATTCGCAAGCACGCGCGGATAAGGATGCTTACGACCCATCGCGATGCACACATATACATATTCCCATACTGGGTCATGGAGATGATCAAGAAAAACGAGAAATTCGAGAGTATCAGCGAGGAAGTATTGGGATGGTGGGCAAAGGCTGGCTGGCAGGAAGGTCTAGGAGATAAATTGGGTCTGCGGCAAATACTGCAAGGCGAAGACGAGGAGTCGGATCATGGCTCGCAAGTTGTTGAAGAAGAGATCGATGTCTCCAAGTTCAGCACCACATACTCCGACAACATCACAGACACAGACACAAAGGCCCCCACAACACTCGCCTCGAGAGTCACAAAATCCTCTAGCATACCCGAAGCCGCAAAATCACTCACCTCAAATTCTAAACTCACGGTACCACCCATCCTAGCCTACGTCCAGCCCTCAGGTCCAACCGAACCCCTCATCCGCCGTGTGGACGACTCCCACCTCCTCCTGACCGTCTCCCTCCGCCTCGCCAAACTCCCCTCCATCGAAGAAGTTACCAAAGAACTCGCGTCGCCGTTTGCACACCAATCTAAGATCGTTCACAAAGAATCTATACCCCGGAAATGCCGCGTAGAAGCTGAGAACTCACTTCTCGCAGATAACGTCATCGTAGAAGAGAAGACAAACATCAAGGAAAGCGTCATCGGCCCTAATTGCAAAATTAGTGAGGGCGCGAGACTGCTGAGGTGTTTGCTGATGGATGGTGTGGAGATTGGGCCTAATGTTCAGCTTACGGATTGTATTTTAGGGAGGAGGTGTAGGATGGAGGGTGGTGATGCTAAGGATGGGGATAAGACTGTTCTCAAGGACTGTGAGGTTCAGGATGGTCAAGTTGTGGAGTGGGGTAGTAAGTATTCCCTGATATGTTGTGAAAAGTGGGTTAGGCTAACGATTATACAGCTGAGGCGAAGAATGAGAAGTTTATGCGCTTTGATGTTGGTGATGATGTGGGCAGCGAGGGCTTTGGTGGGGATGAGATGGATACATTGGATGGTGACGAGGGGGAGGGTATCCCGCTGCGGTGAACAATCGCTGCTGACATGTGCAAAAGCAGCGTACATGATGACTATGATCACACGGCTTGGAGACATGAGCTTATCCCAATGAAAGAGATATGGGTTCAGACAAATTCAAGACATCCAAACCCTATTGGGCTACCTGTGGATCGGCTGGTCTTAGACATCTAATCGAAAGAACAAGTCGTTGTTTTCACTTGTGCGACCATCACATATGCTGACCTATGACCATAGCAATAGATTCTCTTGCCTGCTGGCGTATTGACCTTGAACTTTCAAATCATCGAGAAATTCAGTCAGAAAGTTCTTTTTTGGATGTGGCTCAAGGATGAGTGGCTTCAAGAAGAGTGAGGATGTTGCGCCTCGAGGTTGGAGAAGACAACCACTATGATAGTAGAGACATTGTGAAGAGAAGAAAATTCACTTACTGGTTATGGAGACCACAAATACAGTGGAACGAAAGTACTGGAAGAGTAACACGCGAGGGCTACCGCGCGGTGGAGGAGAATGAGATGACGGCTCCAGCCTTGCGCTAGCGCCAGGCCGTTTCTGTATACTGCACCACGATACTCACCGCACCGCACGCGATGTATGCTAGCTTTATTTCGGGTCTCCAGTCGGCTGTTATTTCGAGGTGAATATGAGGCTGTGTTCAACGAGTACAAGGTCAAGTTGTCTACGCTAGGCTGCCCGGCACGACTTACCCAATGCGGACAAATGTCACGGCGAGGAGAAGAAGGGGTAACCAGCAATCAGTGCTCAACAGAGCCATAGTAGTCGTCGGTCGGGACTTGGTCAATGTATTGCACTTGAACTTGTAGACTTTAAATATCCAACAACGCATTCCTAAGTTTTCCAATCATATCTTTCCAAGGTTCAATCAACATCTCACATCACCAAGCAGTAAGTCAATAAATTACTTCGAAATAAGGATCTCAAGTCAGATAAAATTTACTTACCAATTGTGTAGTGTCTCAAAAATACGTACCTCTTACCATCATCAAAGGCGCAGGCCATGAGTACATCCCCATCCCGGACGGCGAAAGCGCAATCGTCGCAGACTTCCACTCGTACGTCAGTCGCATCATATGCACCACTGCATCTCTCCATTCCCGAAAGCCCATCGTACCCATGTCTAACCCACACTAGCATCAGAACACAAACCAAAGACTCCCCCAGCTACCTAACCTCGGGATTCTACCGCATCAAAGCGGGTCCTACACGCAACATTCCCACATACGACTACGAAGAGACCAAATTTGTGCTCAATGGCCAGATTGACGTGCTGGACGAGGCAACGGGTGTCACACATCATCTTGTTGCGGGTGACTTTGCTTTCTTCCATGTAGGATCAAAGGCACAGTTTTCGAGCAAATCTGGTGGAACAGCGTTTTTCGCTGTTACTAGGCCGATTATTACTCAACATCCTGGGTTGGTGGGAAGAGAAGAGAAGGTGGGTGCGCAGGCGAAGCTATAAGATCGGTCAACCTTGAGATGGTTGAAGGGCGATAAAGAGGCAGCGCGAAGCATTGTGGTTCATCACGGGTGAGAGGAACCCAGAAGAACAATACCAACATAGTCGATGGCTTCCAAGTAAATCCTTAAGAGAAATAGACAAAAATCCCTAAAATCATCATGACTGCTGTGTTGTGAGATACAAGAGCTCAAGAGCGCGATGTTCAGATCGTATCTTAGTTCATGAATAAGGTGCAACAATCCCGAGATATCTCCAGGAGACCATCGTCGCGGGGCTGGCGTGCCGCTAACGTCATCTGGCTGGACCCTTCGATCTCGACATTTACATGTGGGCGCCACCATCTCAACTCATGCATCGTTCATTCTCAACACCACGAGGATGGCGCAGTCGCCTGTATCCGGCGTCATGATGCCGCCACGCTTCAATATCGAGCTGGACCGGACAGATCCGGACGTTCCCTTCCGCGCATCACAGTCGCACATTCATCACACATGGGCCCGGACGTTCCATTCACGACCGGAGCTCTACGTCCGACCGCAGAGTCTTCAGGAGGTGCAGAAAGTTGTAAACCTCGCGAGACGCATGCGAAGACGCGTCGTCACTGTAGGATGCGGACATTCACCCTCGGACATCACATGCACATCAGCATGGATGATCAACCTCGATGATTACAAGCAGGTGTTGAACGTGGATAAGGAGCGCAAGACTATGACTGTGCAGGCTGGAATACGCCTTCATGATCTCAACCTCCAGGCAAAGAGCCACGGCTTGACAATGCCTAACCTTGGCTCCATCGACGATCAGTCACTCGCCGGTGCGATTGCGACAGCGACACACGGCAGTTCATACAACCACGGCCTCCTCTCCGACCGCGTTCAGAGTCTTCGTATAGTGCTGGCAAACGGCCAGGCAGTACGCTGTTCACCCCAGCAATCGCCAGATCTCTTTCGAGCAGCGCTGGTTTCGCTGGGCGCATTGGGCATCATCGTCGAAATCGAGTTCCAGATGATCGAAGCAAACAACGTCGAATGGATACAGACTATACGGCCGATTGAAGATGTTTTGGCAGACTGGAACAACGGGCTTTGGACATCGAACGAGTTTACAAGAGTGTGGTGGCTACCGTACATGAAGCGCGCAGTCGTATGGCGCGCGGACAAGACAAACAAGCAGCATCGACAGCCGGAGTACAACTGGTATGGCGGCAGTGTCGGCTTCCACACGTACCACATTCTTCTCTGGATATCGCAATACGTTCCACGCTTCCTGCCTTGGGTCGAGTGGTTCGTCTTCGGCATGCAATATGGCTTCAAAGATGGTGCACTCATCTCTGCGGTTGGCGAGCAGCGTACGGAACTCTTGATGAACTGTCTTTACTCACAATTTGTTAATGAGTGGAGCATTCCCCTTGACAAAGGTCCTGAGGCTCTGACACGACTGACGAACTGGCTCCACGGCGACGAACAATCCTCCGGTATTCCCTTTAGCACCAAAGGTCTCTACGTCCACTCTCCGATCGAAGTCCGCATTGCAAACACCGTCAACCGAGAACCCCGTCCATTCCTTGATACGTCCTACCCCGACCAACCCGCTCTATACCTTAACGCCACGCTGTACCGCCCCTACGGTCAAGACCCTCCCTGCCGCGAACGTTACTACCAGGCCTTCGAACACCTGATGAAAGAGTACAACGGCCGACCTCACTGGGCAAAGAACTTTCAATCTGTCGACCACGCCTACCTCTCCTCGGTATACGGCAACGACTTGGATGAATACAACCGCGTACGCAGCGAAGTCGATCCCGAAGGCATGTTCCTTGGCGCCTGGCACCGCCGCACCATCCTCCCACCCAAGAGCGATCTCCCCTTACTGCCCCTCGAAGAGAAAGAAGTCATACGCCGCGACCGACGTACCGGTGGTGTGGACTGGGTAGGTGAACAAGCACGATGGTTTGATGGTGGTGTTGATGTGTTTGAGAAGGCGGGCAGTGAAAGTGAGTCTGGAGAGAGCTTTGATTATATGGTTGGGGCGGAGGCGGAGAACAGTGTGCTTTTGGAAGGATTAAGTGACGAGCTTGTTGTTACGGAGGATAGTTATGAGAGTGTTACGGAGTCTAGGAGGAGAGAGGGTACTGAGACGTATGTTACTGGAACGAACGTCTTCAACAAGATGTAGACGGGGAAGTGAATATAGAGGTATATAGAAGAGGGGAAACATTATGCGATACGAATGGTGGGGAAATACGCTACTCAATGAAGACATGAATTCGTTACGCCAATATTACAATACTCGCAAACAGTTAGTATTCTATTTTACTTTGGCCACCGATGGTGCGCGATGTACGGTATGATTACGCGGCTAAAAACGTGTGAAAGAGGTCATTTTGTTGCCAGTGGCTTCCAACTTCCAACCCAACGCGGCCCAATTGGGTAAGGCGCGTACGTGTCGACCTTGCGAACCGCGACTTCCCGTCATCGTACTTCGTACGTCTTGTCTCCATCACTCACTTCGCAACGCTTCAGACCGTGCTGTATTATGTGAGCCTCCAAGATAGAAGTAAAAGGTGTTAATCATTGTTGTTCGCTGACAACGCTACATGCAAAGCTCAAGGATAGAAGTGATTACATGAGGAACAAAGAAACCACAAAACCGAATGCAGCTTCGAACATCCACCTACACAAACCGATTAAGGCTCCCAGTCAACACCCTAGCCGGGCTCTTTGCCAATGGCGACTAGAACAGGGTCGTGAAAGCCGAGCTCCTTGTCCCTCTTCGCACATTCTTCGAATGCACAGATCACCGAATCTCCCGATGCCTGGTCTTCCTCGTCAAACTTGATCATCTTCAAGAAGCCCGCAAGGCTCACGTGTTTCATAAACACCTTGAATTGCAGTACACCAAGCTCCGTGTGTTCGCGTGTAGCCAGCGTCATGTAGGCTGCGACAATATCTGACTTGCTGTTTTTAGGCTCAGAGCTGTGTCCCTTATCTCTTTGAGAATTCCGCGCAGGGTTGTGATTCCAACCTGCGTGGTGTTGAATCTGCTCACGATCGGCGCATCGGTGTCGATATCGTCCGCCATATCCAGGACCTTGAGCTCCGATAGATTACAGCTGTCATCCGCGTGCGATGCGTTGGTGGCACATATTTCGCAACTGAGACTCGGCACTTGCGTCTCCGACCCCTCAAGGGAGTTGGAGTGGGACGGGTAACCTCTGTCATCAAAGGTTCTTCGTGACTAAAGCAAGAATTTACTGTTCAGTGTTTCGGCCTGACGTGTCACTTTGGCGATATCATCCTTCAGTCGTTCAAGACTGATGGCTTATCACTCGGCTTGAGCGTAACAATAACTTCTGGAGCAAGCATTCCAGCAATCGCTTGAGTTGCTTTGACAAGCGGGTCCTTCATCGCAACGTCTTTAGCTTTATCGAGCTTCGACACCATCACTGTACCCAGATTACGGAAAGAATACAACCGCTTCACCGGTGCCAAAACTGAATCCCTCGGCCGCTGGAGATACTGGGGGGTTTTCTTTTCCGGAAAGGGTGGAATCGTATTAGCTGGCGCGGTCTCAGGGCCATGTTCAGAAGGCTAGTCGACAGATGGAGAGTCTGCCTCAGAATACGTTACCACTGATCTATCAGTGGTTCCACCTGCTGCGGGCGCATTTTCGCGCTCGAGCACATCAAAGATCGACATGGTCGCTGTTGGGATTGCATATGCCGTATGAAGCGTGGATACTTCCTACTTTTGCTTGGTGCTCTTTTCAATCTTCTCTTGAGACTATCTACCGACAGCCTTGTTATTTAACTCGCTCTTTTACTCCGCAACGAGCGAGGGAGCCGTTGGAAACAACACGACAGAACGATTGAGCTGGATGTAAACCTTAATCTGCCGTTTATCCACTATTTGTCGGGTAATGTTCGGCTTTAGCGACCTGGAAGCGCGCTTCGTGTTAGTCTTCTTGTGCCGCACCTCAGTCCATTCATTTCTGGTTTCCTGGACGGTAGCGGACTGGTCGACCAGCTTCTCCGCCTCTCTCGAGACATCTTCGTACAGTGTCTTATTCTTTTTCTTTTGGGGGAGGCTCAGCCGTTTTCGACTCAGTCTTCAAGACAGAGATTGCATCTTCTTTACCGACGGATTGTACGTCGGCAAGGGCGGCTTTACAAACTTGAGTTCAAGTAGGGGTATCTGGACATTAGTTGTGTCAACTTTTCTTGTCGGCATAAGCATGAGTTTGGGGGGTTGCGATGAACGGCGAAGTCCTCGAACGCTTGACGCGAGTGTGGCTATCGAGTTGGCGACAGGCGCTGAAGCTTTCAAAACCTCGAGTATAGGCTCGATAATATGGCCATCGGCACTCACTGTGGGCTTGTCAGTTGCGACTGGCATGTTCTATGGGGAGGTTTGTGAGGCTCTTAGTGCAGCTTTGTGAAGATCTTTGTAGTAGGCAAGCCCACGCGTCTGATCATCGAGCTTTGCAGCTTTCCTCTGAGTCGACCTGGAGGGAAACTTTGATTCTGCCATGTTGGAGAGCGGTCGAACTTTTCGGAGAAGAAGCTAAGTGTTGGAGCTTATATAGGAGGCGCAGTGGGTTGATAGGAAGATTGGTCGCTTGGAGAGAGGCGGGTAGTCAAGGTCAAAATCCGACCAGTGGTTGCTTCCTTAGGAAATCTTTGCAGACCTGAGAAGGGTTTGAGTTGCAGCCCGAGAGCGAAATGGAGCTACGAAGAAGAAGAGAAGGTTTGGTCATATCGAACAGAGGAAGCAATGAACGACTGCCCGTGTAGACAGTGAGCATTTGAGGGTGCGCCAAAAAAATGACTTACACTCATAACCGACTGCATGTGGGCAGGCACTACCGCTACGGCTGCAGCCGTTGAGTGCAAGGTAAAGAACTATTGTAACATCGTGGTAAGGTATTCAGATCACGGTATAGCTCAACAAGCTGATGCAGTTTCCTTGCTGATGATGCTATACTGGTAGTCAAGAACCCCGTGGCTACTCGAAACACATCCTACTTCAGCCGAAAGAGCCGCTGTAGGTAACTTCAGCAAACAGTTTGCCCGAGGCACATTTTTTATTCGCCAAGCCAGAACAGTCCTTTGCAGAAGCAGACAGTTACGTCCATACTGGCTGATTCACGCCTGCCGATAGCTCCTTCGAATACCTCCACAAAAGCTTGTTCGCGCTTGACGGATCTCACCATAGCATCTAGCAGCACCGCTGTGTCAAATTTATCAGGTTCGTCCGACAAAACTGAAGCCACTTCATGGAAGAATATGCGCTTTACATAATTTGGAAGTAGGCTTGCGAGACAAGCCAGGTCTCTCTTGTCGCTTTCCCAACGTTGCTGTAACGTAAGACCTTCTCCAGGTTTCTCATCACTGACGTAAGGAATTGCTGAATCTATAGGAATAATGGGTTCTGCTGTTTGAGTGGCACTCGTGTCGATCTAGGACTTGGACGAATCGACCGCCGCTGCAGTGCTAATAGCGTTGTTAGACATATCTTCGTCACCAATGTTTTTGGCGGAACGTCTCCCTTCCGCGCGGCGCTCGCGTCTAAGCTCCTTTGCTCGTATATCCATCTTCAGCTCCTTGCGAGTCATTGCTCCGAGTATCGTATCTTGGACGTGTCATCTTGTTGCGCTAGTGTTATATATGTTGACCGCTGTGGGAAGTCAGATTCCGTTTGCTGTGTTCAGCTGAAGACGAAAGTTTACGTCCAAGACTGCAGTTGAACAAACTACAATGAAGGCTCACGAGACACATTCAGGGTAGTTTTTTCTTCAACACACCGCTTACGGGTATTACAAGAAACAGTAGAGTGAGGATTGCAACGACCGACAATAGGGAATTGAGCTGATGGTTCCCGGAAGCACCAGGCTGGCTGAAGACGTTAACATAGAATAACAGCATCGCTACCAGTAGCAGAAAGCTATTTGGTTCTGCAGTCATTCTTCAGTTTCAACGCTCTATTGTTGCTCCATTACTAACATCGCGGTATCCAGACTATGCAGTTGCGTATTCGACCTGAGCATTTACAGCGCAACGATTCCCAATACATCCTCCGGTATTCACTCTCTTCGTTCTGGAAGGGTAGTTGTCCTTAATCCCGACGATCCTATTACACAAGATTTACCTGAAAAGGGTCTCCATCAAAGTTCGACGCCGCATCCAGACCGCATCCTACCTGTTTTCGGCTAGTCGGACAATCTCTCGTTTCCGAGATTGTGGCCCGCAAGTAATATATCCCCTGCCTTGGCATCACCGTGCTCGACTTGGCATGTAGCCACCATGCGATAGAAGCTTGGCCGTTTCAGGAAGAAGGCCGACGCCATTGTCTGTAAGTGCCATCTGCATGACTATGGAAGAGAAAGAAGTGAATGCCGCAATTCCGAGATTGTTAAAGTTCAGGAGAGCGATTATATTGACACGTTACGAGGCTATATCGAACAACTCGCATCGCCCATATCTACCATCCGGAGAATAACCTAAGCGCCACAATTGTCTGTTCTTGTATGAAGGCTACCCAGCCGGCCGCCCGCGACATCACCCGTTCTACTTGGTCTGCACGTAGATCTCCGAGCTTCCAGAAGACTGGTAACCCTCGGTGGCGACGATCTGGTAGTAATGCTGACCCAAATTCATGCCGTAGCGAGCCCAGGCATTGAAGTGGTTTTGCATGTTCACGCTGCCACCGACGCGCTTCTGGGTACGGACAGACCTGGATGTTTGTTAGTGCTTGTCACACTCCCAGCGATGCTGCGTGCTCTCTTACCAGTACTGCTGAAAGGTCCTTGTGCCGTCAATGGAGGGCTGGTTGGTACGGGTAGATGTGGAAATGTCGTAAGTACCACCGTCACTCTGGAAGCTGCCCTTGCGCTGGGATCCGCTGCTGGGGTTGTAGGTGCCGTATGACTCGATAACGTAGTACTCCACAAGTGGGTTACGGGTCCATCCGTAGACAGCCAAGTAACCATTACCCTGAGGGTTGAAGGAACCGCCGTAGTTGATGGTGCTAGGGGTAAGGATCAGCAAACGATTAATCTCTGATATTCCGAGTGACTTACCGGCCAGTTCCAGGGTTCCATCCCTTGCCACCGACGAAGTTGCCAGTGTTCCTCCAAGTCACAGAGTACTTGCTGCCCTCACCCATGGTGTACTGAGCAGAACCGCCGCCATCAGTCCACCATGAGTAGAAGTAACCGTTGTGGGTACCCTCGGAGCTGGGAGTGGACTGACGCTTCTCAAGGAGAGCAGTCACGTTGCCATCATCGCGCTCAGCGAGGAAGTCGAAAGGAGCGGCGAGCACGCTGGTGGTTGCCACAGCGGCGAGAAGGAGAGACTTGAAAGAGACCATGATGAACTGAGTAGGCTGATCTGTGCTGGATGCAGTGACGATATCAACTGCGAGAAGCAGTGAGCTTATATGTCTCCTTCGAAGTGGATATAAGCCTGAATCGCTGGAAGAAGTCGCATTTCGTGGTCATGAGATATCATCTCGCCTGTGTCTACATCCGTCTTGGTGTCTACGATAATGGTGCGTTCCAGTCCTCTCATTTCGAAAAGCACGTCCAAGTGCACTGACTAGAACGGGCTGGAGACCAAAAACGGTACCGTTTAGTATCCGCCTCGGTAATCATGGCAAAGATACAAAAGTATAATGATCCATGTCCCTTGCACACATTCTGCATGATACTACAAAGGCAATATCGCTGATCCGGGCTTTACGCGCTTTCTCAACCCGGTTCACAGGATGTTAATATAAAAGTACGCCACTAGGGTAGGTAGGGAGGCCTTACCCCACACTCCTCGGATGTACCCCAAAGCTTGGGAGAAACACCCGTCGAGCCAAGATCATGTAGGTGTTGGTATTATTGGGATAGTGGCGCACGTGATGAAACATTTGGGCGCTGAAGGCGGGAAGCCTCGGCGAGTTCAAGACAACCACCGGATGAAGTGGTCTTGCCAAGATCTACAGCACCCGGCATTTCTACCGATCCTGGTGATGCACGCCAAGTCTTGAGCGGAGATGATGTGTGGAGTGCAGGAGTGGATCTCGAGGTCGGTGAGC